CAAACGATGCTTGCTTAAGTGAAGCAGCAAATCGAACGCAGTGTTGAATAGAGCTCTGTGATTGGTTCGTGTGTCACCCTATGCGTCCACTAGCACTGTGAGACCTCATAGTAATGTTTGTGATAGTATTTTATAGTTTATTTTGCTGTTATAATTATGTGCGGGTTCATAAAGTATGTACAGTACGTGAAAAATATTTACATAAAACTAAACATCTGTTTTGTTGTTTATTTTTTTGTGAAATATGTTTTTAGTAGATACTAACAGAGTAAATACAAATGAGTAGGTCATCTTCATAGAAACGCACCGAGCGCGATTTGTATGTGAGCGCGCCAATACGTATGCGGCGCGCACGCACACACTGACAAAATTCGGCGCAACCACGACTGGCTCTCCGCTAAATTATATTCGTAGTTTACTTTTGAGACAGACTTGAGTGTAAATAATATTATAAAAAACATATTTTACAAAAAACAATGCAGTAATTTGTATATTATTGAGGCATGTAACATATATAGTTGCGTTACTTTCGATTCTTTTCTACATTATAGGTATTTTGTATATATTTTATTTCGTTTATTTGATTGAAAAGTCGTACTTTTTTAATTTATGAATGTTATTATGACTCTAACTGATAGTTTGCTTGTAAAAATATTCAGTTTCAAATTATAGATTGTGATCAAATGATAAAATATCCTGATACAAGGCTCAACACAGTCAATGCCTGAGCTATGGAAGCGCTGGAGGGTTATGAGGGTGACTTTGTATCATAAAAAAAAAGTATATAAGTAGTATATCCGTTAAGCTAGCACCCATAACACAAGCATTAAGTTGCTTACTTTGGGGCTAGCTGACGCTGTGTGAAAATTGTCCAAAGATTATTTATTTATTATTATTATTTGTGACTGTCAAAAGTCAGCGAGACTTCAGCCCCCCTAGACAAAACGCACTTTTTGATCGAATCGAAAATCGAATCCGTCGAAACTCCATACAAAAAAGGGGTTTTTGACCACTTTTCGACTGGTTTGCGATTATAATTTGCACTTTGATTACGCACTTTTTGATCGAATCGAATCCGTCAAAACTCCATACAAAAAAGGGGTTTTTGACCACTTTTCGACTGGTTTGCGATTATAATTTGCACTTTGAAAACGCACTTTTTGATCGAATCGAAAATCGAATCCGTCAAAACTCCATACAAAAAAGGGGCTTTTCGACCACTTTTCGACTGGTTTGCGATTATAATTTGCACTTTGATTACGCACTTTTTGATCGAATCGAAAATCGAATCCGTCAAAACTCCATACAAAAAAGGGTCTTTTCGACCACTTTTCGACTGGTTTGCGATTATAATTTGCACTTTGATTACGCACTTTTTGATCGAATCGAAAATCGAATCCGTCGAAACTCCATACAAAAAAGGGGCTTTTCGACCACTTTTCGACTGGTTTGCGATTATAATTTGCACTTTGTCTAGACCCACAGATTCGTATGCCCTGTCACGTCATATGTCAATATCACCCTTCATTCCGTGCCGGTCCTATACCTCAGGCACCGAGTTAAACGCTAGAGTTATTAATTAAAATGTATTATAAATAATAATAATTAATAAATAACGTCAGCCTCTTTTTAATCGATGTGTATATAATGAGGGTTTTCGTGATTGAAAAATCCGCCAGATGGCAATACGTAGACGCGAGGTCCAAATGCTGCGTGATTGGTGGATTTTGACATATCTGTCAATGTCATGTCAAAAATAACCAATCATGCAGCATTTGGACCTCGCGTCTACGTATTGCCATCTGGCGGATTTTTCAATCGCGAATTGAACAAGCAAACTGTCAGTTAAGAGATTGTGTCCTGCGTATAAAAAGGCTGTATATATTTTTTCTTAATCATTTAAAAATGTAAAAAAAATATATTTATTCGGTTGTGTTTTTTTTCTCTTTAGTGACCAATACAGAAATAAAGTTTAAAATTGCTTAAACATTTGGAGATTCCTAATTTATTTTTCCAGTCATCTGTCAAACTATCAAATGAATTTTCAGATTTTATTTGCTGTCCCATTTCAACCGCTAAGGAAAGAAAGAGACGCCGAATTATAGTTTTAGATCCACTAGCGCCATCTGTGGGAGATAAAGTAAAGTGTGCTATTGTGCTAGAAATGCCAAAAATATCTAAAGGTATTAAGTTACTAAATAATTGTATGTTGGTGAATTATAAAAATTATGTTCTTGCCAAGTTTCTGTTTTATTTTGTACCCTGTACCCTCCGTGGTTAAGGTGGTAATAGATGAATTCTCCGTTTAGAAGGGGTTCGATTCCTAGCAAAAACTTTAAAAGGCAATGATTTGTCCGTCAGACAGATACTAAGAAACTTAGACTCGTATTTTTTTTTCTTTCATAATTAAATAATAACAGTGCTACATCGAGTTGCAATGGCGCGTTATGACGTAACTTACGTCACGCATAAACGCAAACGCAACGCAAAAGAGACGTCACGTGACATTGTAATTATTCGATTATGGAAAAAAAGAAATAAGTGTCCAATATTTATTTATTGTCTGTCGGACTAAATAGAATTTAGATTTCATTACCCAGTCATTTATTTATTTATTTTGGCTTTTCAACAATGAGTACCTACACTATTAAAATTTAAAATACATCATCATCCCAATAAGAGAAAAATATCTAAATTCCATTTGTCTCCACTGCTGGGGATTTAATTAATTACAATTTATCGCCTGTCGCCACTCCTGCAGTAATAGAGGATAGTGCCAACTATGTATGGATGTTGGACCAAGTGCTGCCCAGAACGAAACCTTAGGTAGTGCATTTTTTTCCTCAGGCCAATACTGCCAATACTAATATGTAAACTGAAGCGCAATGAAATCTATCCCTGGAGTTAAGAGAAAAAAATTGGCCAAGTGCTTGTCGTGCCACGCGCAGTGTAGGGTTCCGTAGTTGTCCGTCGTTAACAAAATACATTCAGCTTTCAGAAGCAAGCAATTACTTCGTGTAAAGACAATTTTAATATTTTCTTCTAAGGAATTTTTATTAGATATGAAATTTTGAGTTAGGTAAATGACTATCACTCTTAAACCAACTGACCTATCTTAACCGTTTAAGTTTTCCTTGAAAGTTCATGAAANGTTAGTGCGCTTTACCTACATTATTAGTATATATGGTTATATATGGTTTGATTCTGGGCAGCACTTCGTCCAGACCCTGGCACTATCCTTTTAATTATTTCATTAAATTCCCCACTGGTGAGACAACGGGAATAAACCGAGAATTTTTTTGTCCCAACAGCCATCATTTCAATTTCTCCTTTAATGTCATCATGCGTATTGACATAACATTGGTACATTTAGGGTGATGAACAGTTAATTTGTTTGCATTATGTAAAAGTATCTTTGCGTAGACAATTTTAATGTCAATTTATTAATGCAAAAATAGGCTTAGAGTACCTATTTATCAGGTGCTGGAAGTTTAAACATCTGTTAAAACATGGGTGAACGGAAAACATAGATAATGCCACCTGGCATTAAGTCCGCCACTGTACATATGTATGTGCAAAAGTGTAAATAAATAAATAAATAAATAAATAGATAGATCTAACATTTTTATAATCTTACTACACATGTTGACACCTCCAATCAATTGACGTATTTAAAACTGTCAAAACGAAACTATCCCATAGATTTTGTATGGCACTACAAGCAAGTGACGTCACTATTTTGTCAACTCAATTAAACTACTTTTTTCAATTACAACGCAACCAAAAATCGTAATTTACAGGTAATTTAAAATTAATTAAGTTTTTAAGACCAGAATGAAGTGTCTTTTTAGAAAAGTTGTGATTTCGAATTATTGGGGAATGGTGTCCAATTGTTTATTCTACTAAAGAACAAGAGATAAGAACTCGATGGAGAGACTGGTAGTTCAGACCCAACTAGGTGGCCCGACGATCTGGTAAAGAAAGGAACTGGTCCACAGAATGCAGGCAGCGCGCCGGACCAGTCGGTATGAAAATCCTTGGGAGAGGCTTTTGTCCAGCAGTGGACTTCATTTGGCAGAAACTAACGAACCCTTATGCCTGTTTTCACCATCAATCCCTAATTTTTAAGTGAACCCTATGGTAACAAATAACAGGAATTTTGTTTACATAGGGGTCACTTAAAAATCAGATCAAGCGCCGCAAGTGGAACTGGATTGGCCACACTCTCCGAAGGGACCCCGATCACATCCCTAAGCAGGCTCTGGATTGGAATCCCCAAGGAAAACGCAAACGTGGTCGACCCAGGCAAACTTGGCGGCGCACTGTAGCGGACGAGGCGAAGAAGATCGGCAAGACTTGGAGCGAGATCAAGCGAGAAGCTCAAGACCGAACGAGATGGAGGACTGTTGTGGACGCCCTCTGCCCCATCTAGGGGACATAGGACCATAAGTCAAGTAAGTCAATTTTTTGTATAAAGATTAGTAATTGTTTAATTAGAAAATTACTAATAATCCCGTTAGGCCTTCGTACTAAGCTAAATGCTTGTATCACGACTTCACGAGTGAGCTCACCACAATAGAGCGGCAGCGGGGACCGAACCCGCGTTCCCCGGATCACCACGAGTCGGCCAGTCCGACCCCTTCACCGTTCGGCTATCGTGGCTTCTTTCTTTTTTACGCGTATGCGCCAGAAGGAGGGTTATGTTTTTCGAGTGTATGTATGTATGTGGGTATATGATGTATAATATATACAAATACATATCACCAACAAAAGAATTAGTCATTGATGCCTCCGACTGCATTTGTAAACACTAAGGCTTGTTTTTAACTTTTTAGTTCATTTTTACGCAGTTGGGTTTTTTGTTTATTCAATGATAACTACATAGTTCAATAATATTTTTTCACTTTATGTTTATTTCGTTCACCAATTACTGAGAAATTGCATGTTTGCGAGTGCACTACTGAATCCCTATAAAAGGGGTATCAAATTTATATCTTCACACACATTATCACACTTCTGTACAGAAAGTGTGATAAATTAATTTGGAAAAAATATTTAAACGAAGCAAATATGAAGACCATTTTCTTTTTGATATCTTTGGTAAGCCTAGTTTTTTTTTATTTATAATTGAATTTTGTATCGCCTACTCTCTCAGTGTGGCTATATTAAGTTTAAATAAATAGACTTAAAAGAATAAACGGGCATCTTGCAAACCAGGTCATCATATGTTATCCCGAAGTGGTGGTAAGGCAAGCTATACAGAGTGGAATTTTGTAATGCCACCTGGAGGGAATAGATAGAAAATTGAACTGAAAGAAAACATTCCTTTATTTTTGAAAAGAAAGAGAACTGCATTCATAGAATTTCGATTTTTTTTTCGAAAATTCACTACCATTACAATTTTCTGTAAATAATGAAGATTTCATGGTTTTCCTTTCATTTGATTTATCAAGTTTGTTAGAGAGATTTCATTTTTATACTTAACTCTAACGATCGATGCAACAAAAATACAGGGTGTAATTTTTAACAGATTTTAGTTAGTTCGATTCCCCCGCCCCGGTGTGGCAAGCAAAATTTGGGAAATCTTTGAATGCAGTTCTATTTCTTTTCCTAAATTAAAAAATGTTTACTTTGAGTAAAATTTTCTATCTACCTACATTATTAAGAGTACTTTCCCTCCGGGTGGCATTACAAAATTCCACTCTGTATAGTGATAAAAAAATACCTTGGCTGCAGTTTTTTTTAATGCATAACAAGGCAGGTATTTGACCACAATCGCACCTGATGTTAATGGGATGCAGTCTAGGATGGTACATATCTGCCCTGTAAGTGCCTATTCACTCTCGCCTTGAAAAGGCCCGGCTTATAGTCCTCAGGAAAGACCAGCAGGCAGCGAATTCCAGTCCCTAGCTGTTCGCATAAAAGAGTCATTGAAACGCTGCAGTTGATATCTTTTGACTGCAACGACCGCTACCTACTTACTCGATTTAGATAAAGGACGTAGCACACTTATCAACCCAGAAAGGGATCGTAACTCGTAACCGTATCAACTCAATAAAAAAATAAAATTAACAAATAATAAAATAAAATAGAAAACTCGAGGCAGTCAGTATTCTTTGTATGAAAATCCAAACTGCAACGTTCACTTATCCTCATCATCATCTCAGCCATAGGACGTCCACTGCTGAACATAGGCCTCCCCTAATGCTTTCCACGTTGATCGATTGGTAGCGGCCTGCGTCCAGCGCTTCCCTGCTACCTTTACGATGTCGTCGCTGCTGCTTCCAATGTACTTATACTCACCGTAACGTAAACGCCTCGCCTCGCGGTTGACAGCTCGCGAAAGGCGATACGGTGTTGATCCCTTTCCGATTTGACATTTCTATGAGGTCTCACAGTGCTCGTGGACGCACAGGGTCACACACGAACCAATCACAGAGCTCTATTCAACGCTGTTCGCTCGATTTGCTATTTCACGTAAGCAAGCGATACGGGCGTACGTCTGCTACGTCTGCTGCACGTCTGCTGCTGTACTAAGCGATACGTGTTGTGAATACGGGCGTAAGTCTGCTATGACCTAACCTGAAGGGCGCTGGACTGATCAGTGGTGTCAGTGGGCTGAGTGTGAGTTAAAAAAATTATGAAATTTTTAGTTTTCGAACGTATCCCGCTAGGGGCGCTGTACAATCCGTCACACATTTAATGTCATTTTTTGACGCGCTCACTAGTGAGCGCGTTTGATGTAAACTCACACTAGGCCCTCAAGTTAAAACTGCACTCAATGGTCCACTCCACGCACGAGTGTAAGAAAGGCTACAATGCGGGAGTAATGGTAACCAATTCTGAAGCTTGCTACCAATCAAGGTGTAACGACCACGAACAAGGGTGTACTACCCGTTCGCGCTAAGTTTGCCGGTCCGTGGAATGCGCGTCCCCTCCCCCAACCGCGATTAAACGCAATTAATGTGTCTTATTTTTCGCAAATACACAAATTTTATCAATATTAATAAATAAAAAATATTTTCAATATAGGTAGTTTGCTATAGTTATAGACGCTTCCCTTCGAGTGACGTCATATCGCCAGCGGCAAACTTATCGCGAACGGATAGTAGCGACAGAGAAGAAGACAACCAAACTGTTTGTTCTGTTTTTATGTTTGTTAGTAATTTATTTCTTTATTGATTTCTTTATTCTTTGTTTCAGGTATGCTACTGCCTCTGTGACCCGAAACCCACCCTTCCTCTATTAGGTAAGAAAAATACGATACCCTTAGCCTAGACGCAGACCACCAACTTTAAGTTGGCAGTTGTGTCGGGCTGTTAATCAGTATGGGCATGTACGAAAGTGATTACACTGATTCGGTATCGGCCGATTCTTCATACAAATTAGAATCGGGCCACCCTTAGTGCGTGTGTTGACAAATCGGTTTCTTTCTACCCGGTTCGGTTCGACTTTGAAACTACTGGATAGTTTCTTTACGCGATCGAATCAGAAATGAGGAGATCCGTAAACGAACTAAAGCCGCTGACATATCCCGACGGATTAGCAAGCTGAAGTGGCAATGGGCAGGGCATATAGTACGCAGAACTGACGGCCGATGGGGCAGCAAGGTTCTGGAGTGGAGGCCAGGTATCGGAAAACGCGCGTAGCAGGAAGGCGCTGAGGCCGCTACCTACCGGCCTTTGTGGAAATGGTCTGCTCCGGACCAACTAGCCCGGGGCACCCCTGGTAAAACAAGCCTACAAGCCAATGTCCGAGACTTTTCGAGCCTTTTTGCCAGTCATGGCAAGATACACTGTAACGAAATTGATTATGTACTAACATCTAGTGGACGTGTATTTCTGTGAAATAAATGAATTTGAATTTGAAAAAATTAAATGAATTTGATCTTGGCTGCACAGGAGTTTCAGCGATGAGCACGAATTGAGATAACACAATGCAAACATTTGTGTGTTTGAACATAGGTAATTATTATTTGTATCGGTCAGAGAACACGCACAGCCTAAACGGCTAAACGTAGGCACTTGAAATTTGGAAGGGACGTAGCTTAGGTACCGTAGAGGTGCACTAAGAAAGGAATTCCTAAAATTCCCACGGGAACGGAAATTAGCGGGAAAAACATTTGTATGAAAAACCGCGTAAGATAGATGAAGGGGGTAAAACGGGATCCACGCGTACGAAGTCGCGGGCGGCCGCTAGTGTTCTGATAAACATTAATATTTTAATCTGCGATCTCCAACCCGCCTGCCAAGCGTGGAGATTATGGCAAAACCCTCCACTAAAGTACATAATATACGAGGGGCGGCTGAAAAGTTTTGAGCCTAAGTTTCTTCAAGTGTTATTATTGACTCGCGCTAAATTTAATTAATTTGCCAATAACCTCCTTAGTATATGTACAAAGTTTCATTTCATTAGCGTCATCACGCTTTTAGTAATTAATCCGTAAACATCATCATGTCTCAGTCATCCGCGCAATGTACGAAATTCAAGTACACAGTTGTCATAAAATTCCTCAAAAAGAGGAACCAAACGCTGACGGTAACATTTGATGAGATGTTTACAGTTTATGGGGAGTCTGGGCCTTCATTTGCCATCATGAAAAATTGGATCCGATAGTTCAAGCATGGCAGGTACTTAGTAGGTAGTCGCTAAAAGATGACCGCAAGTCAGGGCGGCCAGATTTCGCCATTAACGAATAAAATCATGAAAATTTAATGAATCTTCCTTTAGAGATCAGCGAATTAAGCTGTGACAGATAGCTGAAGCCATAGGCATTAGCAAGGAACGTATTGGCGATATTTTTCATACTAATTTGCACATGAAATAGGTGAGCGCGCGATGAGTGCCAAAAATGCTCACGCCGCTCAACAACCAGCGTCGAGTCACAACTTCGCAGGAGTTTTAGGACATCTTTGGCCACAATTTTTTTTATCACATTGTCACTATTGATAAGTAATAGATCCGGCAGTACGATGTTGAGTCAAAATAAGAGTCAAACCAATGGATTTAAAAGGGAAAACGCCGCCGCGGAAGTTCAAAGTGGAGCGATCGACACCCAAGCTCATAGCCACTATTTTTGGGATTGTGGAGGAATTTTATTAATTGACTACGTATTTAAAAAAACTACAATAAACGGAGATTATTATGCTGTACTGTTGATAAGAGTGCGTCAAGTGGTTGTTGAAATATTGAGAGGCAAACTGGCGAAAGGAAATCTGTTATTGCAAGACAAATCGCCCGCGCACATCGTGCATGTTGCATGGCTTGCCCCGGGTAAAACTGGATTTCAAGAAATAAATCACCCACCACACAGTTTAATCCGAATCCCTGGCTATTTTGTCTAATTCTCAAATTGGAAAAAAGACCTTCAGGAACGAAGATTTTTGAGTGACAAAGAAATGAAGGCGGCGTTAAAGGCTCATTTCGAAGTCAAAGATTGCGAATTTTTTTTCAGTGGGTTAAAAGCTCTTTTACACAAATGTAAGAAGTCCGTTGTAGTAGAGGGAGATTAAATAGGAAAATATATTTTATATACTTTTCTATCGGCATTTTTAATACCCTAGGCTCAAAACTTTTCAGCCGCCCCTCGTAGTAGGCTCAAAGTCCAGTAGTGGACTGTAAACGGATGATGATGATGATCGGTCTGTGGCCTAACTCACGTGTTTCACGATCGCAACTGGAGTGGAAGCCTATTTGGCATAATTTTTAAATTAATCTTTTTTTAACGTATTAATTTCTGTAATTTGTTGTTCTAGTGTGCCAAATAAATGTATTTTCTTTCTTTCTTCCTTTCTTTCTTCTTAACTCAGCGATTTGTTGTCGTTGGAGTTTTGTTACGTGAATAAGGCTATTGGGTATTATTTACCTATTTACTTACAAATTATATTTTTATTATATCCAGGTGCACTGCTAGGTGGTGGTGGCGATAAGTGCGACAACCCAGGCGGACCAGGCAACAACCCAGGAGGCGGTCCCCCCTCAAACGGCGGGCCCCCATCAAACGGTGGTCCCCCATCAAACGGTGGTCCCCCATCAAACGGTGGTCCTCCATCAAACGGTGGTCCCCCATCGAACGGTGGTCCCCCATCAAACGGTTGTCCCCCATCAAACGGCGGTCCCCCATCAAACGGTGGCCCCCCATCAAACGGCGGGCCCCCCTCAAACGGCGGACCCCCCTCAAACGGCGGACCCCCCTCAAACGGTGGACCCCCCTCAAACGGTGGGCCCCCCGGCAACAGCCCGGGCGATTGCGATGATGACAGAACTGGGCTGTTAGGAGGTGGCATTGTTGGAGATCTACTTAAACTTAAACTCAATCTTGGAAAGTAAAAGGTCACCTGAGGGCCGAGTGTGTTTACATCAAACGTCCACTTTAGTGAGCCCGTTAAAAATACCTGAACATTTTAGTTCTCGAAAGTTTTCGCTAGGGGCCTGTGCCCCGATTATGCTAATTTTTAACGTCTCCAATACAGACGCGCTTCTTCGATTCTGCGATACGGATTTGTCAAAACAGCTGACGTCCGGGCACGTTGAATATGAAAATTTTTAGCGTAATCCCTGGTATAATCCGTGATACATTTGATGTAATTTTTTTACGCGCTCACTAGTGTGGATGTTTGATTAATATTATGTATAATGTTGCAATGCCCTCACAGGGCTCATGTTCTGGTACTATTTTATTTTTAATACCTTGTTTGTACCACATGAAGCAATAAAGATATTATGATTATGATTACTCATACTAAGCCCTCTGTATTACTATACATACATACTGGCTGTCTCCATACTTTTAGTTCCATGGACAATCGTATCTGCCTACAGTATGGCCTACAGCCCCAAAATGGCGAAACTCAAATAGGCACAAAAATATTCAGGCCAGTCCAGTGTGTAGGATGTATAATTACAGGTCAGTCGGTGACATACTTCCATAAGCCTTGTCCGCACTAGTCGAGTAATTTAGTAAAGGACGTAGCACACTTCTCAACTCGGAAAGGGATTAACAACGTTCGCCTTTCGCGCGCTGTCAACTGCGAGGCGAGGCGTTTACGTTGCGGTGATGTGTGCGTTGCAGTATGGAGTTTCATACAAAGAATTTTCAACTCAAGTTGATACGGTAACGATTTCTTTCCGGGTTGATAAATGTGCTACTTCCTTAACTCGCCTTTAGTATAGATCGTTTCATCCACGTACACGCTCCACCATTCTTCCGCTAATGTTTGAGTATTATCGGTACACGCTAAATTATTAATTCATATTTATTATAACTAATAATAATAAATAAATAATGTCAGCCTCTTTTTAATCGATGGGTTTAAACAATCGAACAAGCAAACTGTCAGTTAAGAGATTGTGTCCTACGTATACGCTACTGCGTATAAAGGCTGTATATATTTTTTCTTAATCATTGAAAATGTAAAAAATATATATTTATTCGGTTGTTTTTTTTTCTCTTTAGTGACCAATACAGAAATAAAGTTAAAAATTGCTACATTTGGAAATTCCTAAAATTTATTTTTTACAGTCATCTGTCAAACGAATTTTCAGTTTTTATTTGCAGTCCCATTTCAACCGCTAAGGAGAGAAAGATACGCCGAATTATAGTTTTAGATCCACTAGCGCCATCTGTGGGAGATAAAATAAAGTGTGCTATTGTGCTAGAAATGCCAAAAATATCTAAAGGTATTAAGTTACTAAATAATATGTTGGTGAATTAATAAAATTATGTTCTTGCCAAGTTTTTGTTTTATTTTATAGGTAATACACTCGACGTCAAATAAATCGCACCTCCCGCGACAATAATTAAGATTATCTTTTAACGCAAACATAGTTCTTCGTCAATATTGGTGTTATTTGAAAGCCCAATAAAATAACATAAAGAAAAACACATTTAATTTCTTAATAAACGTACCATAAATGTGACTTGAAAAAGACCTCACTTGGGGCTCACCTCTGGGAACCAATTAGACCAATTTTTATGGTTAGGTATAAAACAATGATCTCACGTGTCCTCTTTAACAGATTGATACCTAGCGATTAATCCCAATTAAGGCCCAGAACAGACGGTGAAACACAACTGAGAGAACCGAGAGACCACACATAACGCGACCAGTTTGATTCAAACTGTCTCTCAACGGACGCTATGGCAGAAACTTAGATGCAACTCAAAAGTAACTAGCAATTGCAGTTTCGTTGCAGTTGCGTTTCACCGTCTGTTCTGGGCCTAACAGTTTTATAGCCATAAAACTTGGCTCAAGCGTAACTACCTATTTTTTGAAGAAGCGACTCTGGATTCTTCTACAGACACATTTTTGGGGTAAAAACCTTTCCTTTAATGAAATGAAGATGCATACGTTTGAAAGTGCTTGTCGCGGGAGGTGCGATTTATTTGAAGCAGAGTGTACCTAGATTGAATTCTCGATATTTAGAAGTTATGGGTTCGATTCCTAGCAGAAACTTCAAAGGGCACTTATGCATGTCCCAATACAGGGTGGAAACGATAAGTGATCTCACTCGATTATTTATAAACTATACAAGGTATCGAAAAACTAGATAATGATCCTGAGAGTGCTTTAAAGGCTCTTTCAAACGGTACCAATAATAGGTCACAGAATAAACTGGAACTATCCGAAAATTCAATGTTTCCAACTTCCATACATTTGGTAAAGTTACATCGTTCGTTCGTTTCAGCCAAATGACGTCCACTGCTGGACAAAGGCCTCCCCCAAGGTTTTCCACAATGAACGGTCCTGCGCTGCCCGCATCCAGGCTCTTCCCGCGACCTTTACCAGATCGTCGGTCCACCTAGTAGGAGGCCTGCCCACGCTACGTCTTCCAGCCCGTGGTCGCCACTCGAGAACTTTACATAATATTAAAAATAACTTTACATAATATTAATAATATTAGAAAGTTACATAATATTAAAAAACTACACAAGATATCGCAAAACTAGTTACTGATCCTAAAAGTGCTTCACGAGCTCTATCCAACGGTATCAACAATAGCGTCAATAGCTTACAGAATAAATTGGATCTATCCAAAAATTCTATGTTTCAACAATAGGCTAGTTTCCTAAAAAAATTTTTTTAGTCCGTCATGTTTAATATCAAAAAATATTGGACACATATATTTTTATTTGTCAATCTAACAAATAATTACATAGTTATGGTGCGTTGAAGTTCCGCACGACGTCACAACGTGCGGCACTTTTATGCACGCATAGACGTCACGGGCCCCTTCTTATGAACTTTGGCGCGCTTTATCTCTTTAAATTTTCATTAGTTTGAAAAGTGAAAAATACGTGTAGAGTATTTTTTGATAAGTTAACTGACGGACTAATTAAAACTCTTGCTTTTTGACCCAGGAAACATCCCTATTCAATATACCGGCTGGTGCCGAGAAGTCGAATTGATTGATGAATTGATTTAGAGCAAAATATTTGACGATTTGTAACCTACTGTTTAAATAGTCTAAATTCCAGTTGTTAATTATCGCCTCTCGCCACTCGTCATTGGTTAATTTAACTACGAATCAAAAAACAGCCTTAGACCCAGTTTTTTGATTCGTAGTTAAAATAACCAATAGTCAAATTTGACAGATGTCAAATTACAAGTGGTTAAATATCCGAAAATAATGTTTTTCGAACAATAGTTGAATTTAGGGCATTTTTTAACTATTAGTTTACATTTTGTTAATATTTAACCATTAGTAGCAAAATTTAACAATTTGTTATTTTAACTATGAATAAAAAAACTGGGCCTTAGACGGGATTTTGCAATATTCAACTCCTAAGGGGATAAAACGGGATCAACGCGTACGAAGTCGCGGGCGGCCGCTAGTAAATAATAAATTTTAATTATTTAATTAAATTCCCCACTGGTTAGACAACGGGAATAAACCGAGAAATTTTTTGTCCCAACAGCCATCATTTTAATTTCTCCTTTAATGTCATCATGCGTATTGACATAACATTGGTGCATTTAGGGTGATGAACAGTTAATTTGTTTGCGTTATGTAAAAGTATCTTTGCGTAGACAATTTTAATGTCAATTTATTAATGCAAAAATAGGATTAGTACCTATTTATCAGGTGCTGGAAGTTTTAAACATCTGTTAAAACATGGGTGAACGGAAAACATAGATAGATCTAGCATTTTTATAATCTTACTAGACATGCTGACACCACCAATCAATTGACGTACTTTTTAAAACTGTCAAAACGAAACTATCCCATAGATTTTGTATGGCACTACAAGCAAGTGACGTCACTATTTTGTCAACTCAATTAAACTACTTTTTTCAATTACAACGCGACCAAAAATCATAATTTACAGGTAATTTAAAATTGATTAAGTTTTTAAGACCAGAATGAAGTGTCTTTTTAGAAAAGTTGTGATTTCGAATTATTGGGGAATGGTGTCAAATTGTCTAATAGACTAAAGAACAAGAGATGAGAACTAGATGGAGAGACTGGTAGTTCAGGCCCAACTAGGTGGACCGACGATCTGGTGAAGGAAGGATCTGGTCCGCAGAATGCAGGCAGCACCGGACCAGTCGGTATGAAAATCCTTGGGAGAGGCTTTTGTCCAGCAGTGGACTTCATTTGGCTGAAACGAACGAACCCTTAGTCACCTGTAATTTTTTTATTAAAGATTATTAGTAGTTAATTGTTTAATTAGATAATAATAATAACTAATAAGGCGGTGATCCTCAGCACGGCACGCATTGTCCGGAGGTTCCTCAGCCTGTGACCCTGACCACCGGTAGCCTGGGCCCTGCTCCGCTGCCAGCGGGTTAACTATTTTTAAGATTTTTGTTTTTATAATGTATTTTTATTTTTTGATAATAATTACATTGTAAAAAGAAAAATTAAAAATAAGAAAGTAAGATGAATAAAGGAATAACTAATAATCCCGTTAGCCCTTCGTACTAAGCTAAATGCTTGTATCACGAGTAACTTCACCACAATAGAGCGGCAGCGGGGACCGAACCCGCGTTCCCCGGATCACGAGTCGGCCAGTCCGACCCCTTCACCATTCAGCTATCGTGGCTTCTTTCTTTTTTCCACTTGCATGTTTATTTCGTTCACCAATTACTGAGAAGTTGCATGTTTGCGAGTGCACTATTTGTTTTTTAATTCTAATAATGCATAAATTACCTGAACCCGTATAAAAGGGGTATCAAATTTATATCTTCACACACATTATCACACTTCTGTACAGAAAGTGTGATAAATTAATTTGGAAAAAATATTTAAACGAAGCAAATATGAAGACCATTTTCTTTTTGATATCTTTGGTAAGTAGTTTTTTTAATTATAATTGAATTTTGTACCGTCTACTCTTTCAGTTTGGCCTTAAGGTTAACTGGAGGATAATGCCGAATATTACGTTTGCCTTATGTACTTACTGCATTTTATGAGCATATAAGTTAATAAATAAACTTAAAATAATAAACGGGCATCTTGCAAACCAGGTCATAATGTTGTCCCGAAGTGGTGGTAAGGGAAGCTATACAGGGTGGAATTTTGTAATGCCACCTGGAGGGAAAGTACTCTTAATACTGTATATGTATAGAAAATTTTACTCAAAGAAAACATACCTTTATTTTTGAAAAGAAAGAGAACTGCATTCAAAGTTTTTCTAATAATTGTCGAAAATTAACCATCATACCATACAATTTTCTGTAAATAATTATAGTAATTCAAGATTTCATGGTTTTCCTTTGATTTGATTTATCAAGTTTGTTAGAGAGATTTCCTCCTTATACTTAACCCTTACGATCGATGCAATAAAAATACAGGGTGTAATTTTAAACAAATTTTAGTTGGTTCGATTCCCCAGTGTGGCAAGTAAATTTTAAGAAATCTTCGAATGCAGTTCTATTTGTTTTCCTAAATTAAGGAATGTTTCCTTTCCTTTGAGTAACATTTTCTATCTACAGTATTAAGAGTACTTTCCCTCAAAGGTGGCATTACAAAATTCCACCCTGTATAGTGATCAAAAAATATCCTTAGGCTGCAGTTTTTTTTATGCATAACAAGGCAGGTATTTGACCACAATCGCACCTGATGTTAATGGGATGCAGTCTAGGATGGTACATATCTGCCCTGTAAGTGCCTATTCACTCTCGCCTTGAAAAAACCTGGATTATAGTCTTCGGGAAAGACAGCAGCAGGCAACGAATTCCAGTCCCTAGCTGTTCGCATTATAAAAGAGTCATCGAAACGCTGCAGTTGAAATCTTTTGACTAAAACGACCTACTTACTCGATTTAGATAAAGGACGTAGCACAGTTATCAACCCGGAAAGGGATCGTAACCGTATCAACTCAATAAAAAAATAAAATAAAAAACTCGAGGCGGTCAGTATTCTTTGTATGAAACTCCAAACTGCAACGTTCACTTATCCTCATCATCTTCATTTCAGCCATAGGACGTCCACTGCTGAACATAGGCCTCCACTTATGCTTTTCACGTTGATCGATTGGTAGCGGCCTGCGTCCAGCGCTTCCCTGCTACCTTTACGATGTCGTCGCTGCTGCTTCCAATGTACTTATCCTCATAGCTGGGCATTAACTCGTTAATCCGTTAATCGTTAATTAACGAAGTTAACATTTCTATTAACGGATTGACTTTTAAGTTAACTTTAAAAATTGTTAACGGACTCGTTAACTTCCGTTAAATTTTCCTAAGTCCGTTAATCGTTAACCCAGTACCTACTATTTATTTACCAAAAAGATACAGCAGGCACGCTGAAAAACGCTAGAAAAACGCGTTCTTACAAGTACATTCGGGCTTCCAGAACTTCCAGAACCCAAAACAACAGTTTTTAGATCCAGATCACTAACGACACTTGTTAAGTAGTAGGTATGTGTGGGACAACTCTTGCAATTGAATTTAAGACCAGTTTTCCTCAACCGATTAAGCTGAAATTTGGTATACTTATGTAGGTACGATGACAATACAATGTTATGGTACCATTGAGCTGGTCTGATGATGGAGTCATGAGGTGGCCATATGAACTCCTAAATGAATCGGCGGCATCGCATCGAATTTGGGTTCGTTGGATTTGTCTTTTCGAGCACTTTAGTACTAGATGATGTCCAGGGTCCTGATGATGGAGTCAGGAGTTGGCCATAGGAATTCCTAAACGAAACGGTGGAAACTTATCGAGTTTGTGTTTGCTGGATTTGTCTTTTCAAGCACTTTGGTGCTAAATTGTATTGTAATTGAACCAAGGCTCTGAGATTGAGATACTTACTAAAAAGTGTAAAATAAAATTATAATAATTAAAAACTTTTTTAAAAACAAGCTTTTATTCTGAAATGCAGTTGTACTAAAACGAAAAAAATAATTGTAGGTACTTATGCAAGGTTCAAATAATTTCGAAAGCTTGTAGCGGGTAAATNCGGATCCACCTAGCGCAAACATAAAAGAGGAATTTTCATGCGCGATACAAGCTTTCGAAATTATATGAACCTTGCATACATTTATTTTTTTCGTTTTATTATCATGTGTTAACGGATTAACGATTAACGTTAACTTGCGTTAAATCTTGTGAAATGTAACGTTTAACGAAGTTAATTTATTTATTAACGGTTTAACGATTAACGAAGTTAACTATTTGATTAACGGTGCCCAGCTATGCTTATCCTCAACGTAACGTAAACGCCTCGCCTCGCGGTTGACAGCGCGCGAAACGCGACGACAGCGCGCGAAAGGCGATACGGTGTTGATCCCTTTCCGATTTGACATTTCTATGAGGTCTCACAGTGCTCGTGGACGCACAGGGTCACACACGAACCAATCACAGAGCTCTATTCAACGCTGTTCGTTCGATTTGCTACTTCACGCAAGCAAGCAACGCACCTGTAACGCCCCTGGGTCTGCGGGTGTCTATGGGCGACGGTAATCACTTACCATCAGGTGATCCGTCTGCTCGTTTGCCTCCTGTCACATAAAAAAAAAAAAAGCGATACGGGCGTACGTCTGCTGCGTCTGCTGCTGTACTAAGCGATACGTGTTGTAAATACGGGCGTAAGTCTATTATGACCTAACCTGAAGGGCGCTGGACTGATCAGTGGGCTGAGTGTGAGTTAAAAAAATTATGAAAATTTTAGTTTTTGAACGTTTCCCGCTAGGCGCGCTGTACAATCCGTCATACATTTAATGTAGTGAGCGCATTTGATGTAAACTCACACTAGGCTCTCAAGTTAAAACTGCACTCAATGGTCCACTCCACGCACGAGTGTACAAGAAAGGCTGCAATGCGGGACGAATGATGACGGATTCTGAAGCTTGCTACCAATCCATGTGTAACGATCACGACCAAGAGTGTAGCGATGGAGAAGAAGACAACCAAACTGTTTGTTCTGTTTTTATGTTTGTTAGTAATTTATTTCTTTATTCTTTGTTTCAGGTATGCTACTGCCTCTGTGACCCGAAACCCACCCTTCCTCTATTAGGTAAGAAAAATACGATACCCTTAAGGTTCGGCCAAACCAACGCGATCATACGCGATCAGCCGGCGTGCAGCGATGGCGACCAGACTTAAATGCATTGATCGCCATCGCTGCACGCCGGCTGATCGCGTGTGATCGCGTTGGTTTGGCCGAACCTTTAGCCTAGACGCAGACCACCGACTTTAAGTTGTCAGTTGTGTCGGGCTGTTAATCAGTATGGGCATGTACGAAAGTAATTATTACACTGATTCGGTATCGGCCGATCCTTCATACAAATTAGAATCGGGCCACCCTTAGTGCGTGTGTTGACAAATCGGTTTCTTTCTACCCGGTTCGGTTCGACTTTGAAACTACTGGATAGTTTCTTTACGCGATCGAATCAGAAATGAGGAGATCCGTAAACGAACTAAAGTCGCTGACATATCCCGACGGATTAGCAAGCTGAAGTGGCAATGGGCAGGGCATATAGTAAGCAGAACTGACGGCCGATGGGGCAGGTTCTGGAGTGGAGGCCAGGTATCGGAAAACGCGCGTAGCAGGAAGGCGCTGAGGCCGCTACCTACCGGCCTTTGTGGAAATGGTCTGCTCCGGACCAACTAGCCCGGGGCCCCCTGGTAAAAAAAGCCTACAAATACGCTAATGTTCGGGACTTTTTGCCAGTCATGGCAAGATACACTGTAACGAAATTGATTATGTACTACTAACATCTAGTGGACGTGTATTTCTGTGAAATAAATGAATTTGAATTTGATCTTGGCTGCACAGGAGTTTCAGCGATGAGCACGAATTGAGATAACACAATGCAAACATTTGTGTGTTTGAACATTGGTCATATTATTTGTATCGGTCAGAGAAATATTTTAATCTGCGATCTCCAACCCGCCTGCCAAGCGTGGAGATTATGGCAAAACCCTCCACTAAAGCAGCGGTTCCCGAATGGTGGTCCGCGGAACCCTGGGGTTCCGTGGAAAGGCCGCAAGGGTTCCGTAAAAAATATTATCCCACGTTTCGTGACCGACGTTGTTCGCTCGCACCGGCTTGTTTACGCACAAGGGACGGGCAGGGCGTGCGGGCGGAGTAGTACGGGGGTTCCGTTAGGAAAAGTATAATCAATTAGGGTTCCTTGGCAAAAAAACATTGGGAAACCCTGCACTAAAGTATAGTAGGCTCAAAGTCCAGTAGTGGACTGTAAACGGATGATGATGATGATGATCGGTCTGTGGCCTAACTCGCGTATTTCACGATCGCAACTGGAGTGGAAGCCTATTTGGCATAATTTTTAAATTAATAATATTTATTAATTTCTGTAATTTGTTGTTCTAGTGTGCCATAAATGTATTTTCTTTCTTTCTTCCTTGCTTTCTTTCTTCTCAAATCAGCGATTTGTTGTCGTTGGAGTTTTGTTACGTGAATAAGGCTATTGGTTATTTTTTACCTATTTACTTACAAATTATATTTTTATTATATTCAGGTGGACTGCTAGGTGGTGGTGGCGATAAGTGCGACAAGCCAGGCGGACCAGGCAACAACCCAGGAGGCGGTCCCCCATCAAACGGTGGTCCCCCATCAAACGGCGGGCCCCCATCAAACGGCGGTCCCCCCTCAAACGGCGGTCCCCCATCAAACGGCGGTCCCCCATCAAACGGCGGTCCCCCGTCAAACGGTGGTCCTCCATCAAACGGCGGTCCCCCATCAAACGGTGGTCCTCCATCAAACGGTGGTCCCCCATCAAACGGTGGTCCTCCATCAAACGGTGGTCCCCCATCAAACGGCGGTCCCCCATCAAACGGTGGTCCCCCATCAAACGGCGGTCCCCCATCAAACGGTGGTCCCCCATCAAACGGTGGTCCCCCATCAAACGGTGGTCCCCCATCAAACGGTGGTCCCCCCTCAAACGGTGGACCCCCCTCAAACGGCGGACCCCCCTCAAACGGTGGACCCCCATCAAACGGCGGTCCCCCATCAAACGGCGGTCCCCCATCAAACGGTGGCCCCCCCTCAAACGGTGGGCCCCCCGGCAACAGCCCGGGCGATTGCGACGATGAAAGAACTGGGCTGTTAGGAGGTGGCATTGTTGGAGATCTACTTAAACTAAAACTCAATCTTGGAAAGTAAAAGCAGAGTAAATACAAATGAGTAGGTCATCTTCATAGAAACGCACCGAGCGCAGTTTGTATGGGAGCGCGCCAATACGTATGCGGCGCGCACGCACACACTGACAAAATTCGGCGCAACCACGACTGGCTGACTGCTAATCCCCGCGTTTCTATGAAGATGACCTACTCATTTGTTTTACTCTGGTAAAAGTTCACTGACCTGAGGGTTGAGTGTGAGTTTACATGGAGCCCGTTAAAAATATATGAAAATTTTAGTTCTCGAAAGTTTTCGCTAGGGGCGCTGTAAAATACGTCATACATTTGATGTCATTTTTTTACGCACTCACTAGTGTGGACGTATGTAAACTCACACTAAGCCCTCCGTATTACTATACATATACATACACACTGGACAGGCTGTGTCCATACTTTTAGTTCCATGGACAATCGTATCTGCCTACAGTATAGCCTTGATCACACCTACCTAGTGGTACGGGCGAGACAGTAAGACCGAGAGAGTTGGGTGAGCGAGTCACCTACTCGAGCGCTCGGCGTAATGTTTATACACACCAAGTACTCGGCAGAGAGCACTGTCTCGCCCGTTTGCTCGATACGTGTGATCAAGGAAGAAGGCATATGGCCTAGTGCCCTAAAATGGCGAAACTCAAATAGGCACAAAAATATTATGACAGCAGCCAGTCCAGTGTGTATGTATAATAAGCCTTGCCCGCACTAGTCGCGTAATTTAGTAGAGTAAAGGACGTAGCACACTTATCAGTTCGGAAAGGGATCAACAACTAAAATTGTAAGACACGGGTCTTAACGCGTGCAGCATCGCAGCCGAAGCGTCAAGCCGTGAGTACATAATGTAACTCATTAACAAACGTCGAGTTAAGACCCGTGTCTTACTATTTTAATTAAAATGGAACGCGAAAGTTTAAAAAGGGATCAACAACGTTCGCCTTTCGCGCGCTGTCAACCGCGAGGCGAGGCGTTTACGTTGCGGTTATGTGTGCGTTGCAGTATGGAGTTTCATACAAAGAATACTGACCGCCTCTAAAGCCTGGTCCGTGAGCACGTAGAATCCCGTCCAATGACCCCAAACTACCCATCCTTATATTGCTGTCGCGACTGTGCGACGCGCGCCCGCAGTGAGTGTGCGAGCGCGACAGCAACATAATTACGTGCGAGCGACAAGGATGGGCAGCGTGGGGTCATTGGACGGGATTCTACGTGCTCACGGACCAGGCTTTAGATGATACGGTTACGGTCTCTTTCCGGGTTGATAAATGTGCTACTTCCTTAACTCACCTTTAGTCCACGAAGACGCGCCTCACCATTCTTCCGCTAATGTTTGAGTGTTATCGGTACACGCTAATCATCCATGAGTGCACACGCACACTACAATAATGACGCTCGGATTGCTCAGATCAAACTCCCCGCACCCCGCGCGACTCCACCAAAAACTGGTGGGGCGCGTCTTCGTGGATCGCACGATCTATAACTTTTTATTAATTTGCTGGAATCTCTTAAGGACTTCGATGTACGAGTACAGTCTAGTGCGTGTCGCTTGCTCGTCGTATATTCCCACGATACGACGTCGTATAATTTTATCCAATCTCAAAAATTGCGAAAAATATGGCGCTAATGAGAGCTACGGTTTTGTGCTCAGTCAGATGGTTACGAAGTTTGTTACGCGCGTAAAAATTAAGTTTACATAAAAATAGATTCGTTTTAGACGAATGACGTCCACTGCTGGACAAAGGCCTCCCCCAAGGTTTTTACAATGACCGGTCCTGCGCCGCCCGCATCCAGACACTTCCCTCGACCTTCACCAGATCGTCGGTCCACCTATTGGTGGGCCTGCCCACACTACGTTTTCCGGCCCGTGGTCGCCACTCGAGAACATTTCTGCCCCAGTTTAAATAAAAATTGGTACTTACCTTCGAATTAGATGTTCTTTCATTCCACCACTTTTTCATGACTCTACTTTAAAAGTACTAACACAACACATATTTGCACTTTTTAATCATAGGTATTAAAAATATTCACAACAATTCAGAAATAAAACCGCGTAATCCACCCACATTACTAAAAATTAGTTATTATTATTTCGAAGACAAAACACTAGCGCCATATTTGAATTTTAGCATCACACTACAGAACTACAGTAGCGCCTCTAGCGGTAAATTCAAAAACAATAGCCTCCCTAAAATTGTGTATTTCCGGAATTTAATAAGTAATATTTTTATTCAGAATACAAATTGTTGTAGAAAACGTAAATCGGGAATTTAATTCTGTAATACTTTCACCACCAGTCGTGGTCACAGGCAGACTGGAGCGGTTGCTAACTGTGGTTTAAAATCAGTCTACCCCCATGTTGTTAGGCTACAGTCACACAGTCCTAATGCTATATATGGAGTACGTACGGCAACGTCATTTCCCAATTCCGTGTTGGTTTTCGTAGTTTTCAGTTCACACTAAAGGTCATAGCACACTTATCAAGCCGGAAAGGGATCAACACCGTATCGCCTTTCGCATCGCAATCGCGATTACGTTACAGGTGGATAAGTGTGCATTGCAGTACGGTGTTTCATACAAAGAATACTGCCTCGAGTTGATACGGTTACGATACGTTTTCGGGTGGATAGTGTGTAAAATGCTGTTTTATTTTGAATTAAAAAATTTAATTTTTTATTTTGTACTTTTTTTTGTAACTTTGCATGTAAAAAACATAAAAATTATGTTTTATATTATTTTCGGGTGTGTAATTTAAATTATTGTGTGTCATTTTTTATTTATGCATAATACATTTTGCTTTTTCTATGAATGCATACAGAAATAAAATATTTTTTGCAATTGCATTGTGTTTTTATTATAAAAAAAAACTTAACATTACATCTATTTGGTCCACAAACTTATGAAATCAAGAAAATACATTGAATATGGGCTGATTTTAATCTATCTATTACTTATTTGAAGATTTAATGATCTCTATCCTTACTAATATTATAAATGCGAAAGTAACTGTTTGTCTGTCTGTGACGCTTTCACGCCTAAACCACTGAGCCGATTTTGATGAAATAAGGCATAGATATAGTTTGAGTCCTGGGAAAGGACATAGGATAGTTTTTATCCCGGTTTTTGAAACAGGGATAGTTTTTATGTGTCAGACAAAATTTTACGCGGACGAAGCCGCGGGCGGAAAGCTAGTTTTTTACTAAAACAAAAATGCAAAACTAAAGTCCTGAACTGGCAAGAATAAGTTGAAATTTTTATTTATTTGGTCCAAAAATCCATAGTAATCTTCAAGTAAGCTGATTAAAAATTCGCCCATCAACTTTTTACTTAGAACTAAGGTATATTTACAGGTCTCATGTCTTTTTCACCATCAATCCCTAATTTTTATACTATACAGGGTGGAAACGATAAGTGATCTAACTCGTATACTTTTTAAACTATACAAGATTTCGAAAAACTGGTTACTGATCCTGAAAGTGCTTCACGAGCTCTTTCAAACGGTACCAATAATAGGTTATTTAACTGGATCTATCCGAAAATTCAATGTTTTCAACCTCCATACTAAATGTATGCCAGCCACACAATATTAGAAGTGTTAATTTTTTTAATTAAATTATAAAGACTTAAAATGAACTCGTAAATTCCATTCTTATTTAAAGTTATTCATAGAAAACATTGGTTTTAGGCTTTACTTGCTACAATATTATCAAGACATGAGTGCCATGACTGTGGCAGTACTAAATGTATGGAAGCTGGAAACATTGAATTTTCGGATAGATCCAGTTTGTTTTGTAACCTATTATTGGTACTGTTGGATAGAGCTCGTGAAGGACTTTCAGGATCAGTAACCAGTTTTTGGATATCTTGTATAGTTTAGAAATAATCATGTTTGATCACTTATCGTTTCCACCCTGTATTATGGTGGTAATTTACATAGGGGTCACTTAAAAATTAGAGATGGTGAAAACGGACATAAATGATGTGTAACCCAAGTAACATACAACAAAATTGTTGGTATTAACAGTGGTTTAAACAATACTTACGACTAAGAGGTACGTTTGTCAGATCAATTCACTTTCATCTTCTTTGTGGCCGGTAAGCTTTCCTCTTCCAGCGTCAATTCTTCGAGTTCCCTTTTCACCGAGTTTCTCTTTTCAGTGTTGGCATCGATATTCTCTTTGCCTTTAGTTTTCTTCCCTACGCCTTTCCCTTTTGAATTTTTGTTGTAATACTCGTCAATTTTGTGGCTGTTTTCGCCCGTTAATGGCTCCAATTCGATAGTTTCATCCAGAACATTGTTAGTTGGTCTTTCAGTTTCATCTTCGTCCTCTGATTCGATTACGTTCCGTTTAGGTTTTGGCTTCGAACTGCCGGCTGTAACCAAACGCATTACATATAGAATCCATTATTGGCTGTAAGAACTATAAAAATACCTGTTTGTATTAATATTATAAAGAGCTGTGGTTTTCTGAATAATGAAAAATAAATTAGTCAAAGCATTAAATTTATTTTTATGAAATCTTACACGTAATGAAATTTCATTTCGGTCTTAAAAACTTAAAGTGTAAAAAAGACTTACCAGCAGCCTCGTCACATTCTTCAGTATCGGAATCGTTTTTAGTGCGACTGTTATCTTTGCAAATAAAGAAGTTTGTGATTGGTTTCTGCCACTTTGGAGTCTCTCGGTGGCAGACTGAGTTACCGCCGCCAGAGCCGCTTCGGGAAGCTTTATCACCGCTTCCTGTAGTTATAAGTCATTTTTATGAGACCAAACTTTACATTAAAATTTTACGCCTGAAAACTAGTTAATTATCGTAATTTTCGTACCAGAACCACCACTGCTGCTAGCCAATGGCGCTACGCTGCATCGAGCCTTGCTGCTTTTCCCAGATGCAACTAAAACGCAAAAAAATAAGTTGAAAACATTGTAGTGAGAGGTTAGGTCATGTTTGTGTCAAAAACTCACCTTTAGCACCCACTGAAGCCTTTGTTCGGGCCATGAATGATACAAAATAATGAAAACTAACAAAAACTGTATTTAACGAGCTATTTACTATAATAATTTCAGTTTTCGCAACAAAATAAAAATGATCAAAACATCAGCTGACATTCGCACACATAATATGTCACATTTTGGCGCGAAACTATCTTCTAAACTTTTTTTTCGCTGTCGTATTGCCATCGTAATTGATCGTATTCACATCGAATCTGTGGAGTGAAGTAGGATATTATGTATTTAAGCAATAAAATTATGATCATCATGACATGTGTGAAGCACAAAGTATTAAGTTTATTTATGTGTCTTTGGTTCTTGAGTTATTTTAAGCTTAGAAAAATAAAAACTAACCCAACTGCAAATCAATTGAAATTTCGAATGGTCATTTATTTTCATCAAGTCGCAGCACTAAAGCTTGTCATTCATTCATGCACATTCACTCATCCATTCACATTCCTCTGTGTTTGTTCATTCATTTCATCATTCATTTTTCGTTGAAAAGTAACCTCACCGAATATTAAATTGATGATTAAAATTAAAAAGAACTCGTACTTACCACCGAAATTACCACATTAGTTTGTGATAGTTAATGAAGATCAACAAAAGCTGATACAAGGTAAATAGAACAATTGTTTTTATAAAACATTGCTGTGTGTACAAACAACCTAATAAAATGCATTTAAATTTTAATTTCTTACATTTCGTTGAATTTCCCATATTTAATTGAGCTTGACTATGACTTAACACATCCATTTAGAGACTATGACTTAACACATCCATTTAGAGACTATGGTAGGGATTTCAAAGGCACAAATGAATTTTAAAAATTGATTTGGTGAAAGTAGGTAAGTCAAACAAAAACATTTTTTGTAGCTACTATGGTTGGTCCCTTTCACCTTTTCATCAAATATTGATACCTTTATCTTAGGGCTAAACACATCAGTAAGGAAAGAGTAGAATTAACAGGTTTATTTAAATAAAACTAGCAATTAGGTGTCATAAAAATTTATTAAGTAAATTATTAAAACATTTGTTATGGATATTTACCACACTGTATTTACATCTTATCTCCTGTCAGATGTACCAGACTGACTCTATTTTAGGTACTTATAGCTTAGCTGATTTCTTCAACTTTAACCCATTATAGACTGAGTTTTCTTGAAGTGTCAGATTTTTGTTTTTTTGAAATATGTTCTTAATTATGGTCTACATAATGCGATACAAGCATTAAAAAAAATATCCGACCTGTAATCTAGAAAAAAAATGCTGGTACCATATGGTACCGCTAGCCTCTTACCGTGTCAGTCGGTTAAAACATAACTTTATCATGGACTTTATAAAAATAGGGTAAATTATATATTTTATTTTTATTATAAAATGTATTAATATACAAGCAAATAACAGGAGTGACATTAAATGTAAAAAAGGTGTTTATTGGCTTAAGTAATGTTCATTTTTATCTTTGACTATTCAAAAATTTGAAATGCAGCTTGGCATTGCACGCTGCACATAGCCCCACGTTAAATTTTCTATACTCTAATATTGTTGGAGAGTTGCAATTTTCTTGAGTTCGTTCATGAACATCTGCTTCGTCTTGGGATCTTCATCGTCCTCCAAAACTGCCAATGTTTCGTATAAATTACATCTAAAATAAATAAAAACCCATGGTTTTGTAAAGTATAGGAAACTATTATACTTTATCTTCCTGTTTACCTTATATACCATTGAATATATCACATACTTCCCAATAAATATAGTAAAAATTAAAAATCATAAAATAATTAAAAAGACACGGTAAGCGGCTAGCGGTACCGTACGGTACCAGTAATTTTGACATGCAATATTTGCCATTATTATTACATATCGACGTAATTTTACACCATTTCACAATAAGAGCACTTATGGAGAATACAAGATTCTAACAAAATTAGTATTTCACTGTCACCCAAAAAAAATATGATCACTAACTTGAAAGGCGCGTCAATTTTTAAGAGAAAAATTTGATGCACTCACTTCAATTGTCAATTACACACAACTGAAAAGAATAACTGTCTATTTTTATTCTTAGAAGCATAGACCATATCTATTGGCTACGACTTGCATCAATCAGAGCACTGCATCTTTTAACGTGTTAATGTATAGATCCAAATTAAAACACACAAAAAAGTGGTACCATATGGGACCGCTAGTCTATAATGGGTTAAAACATGTTAAAATACCAATATTGATGACAGCATAACAAGCTAAATATGTACTTACTGTGGCACATAATGTTAATTTTTACATACACATTATGTGCTGCAAAAGTGCACAGACTACAACACATAAATATTCACAGTCGGGTAAATAAATACCACATAATTAAGCTAGAAGTACCTTAAAAAAGTGTTTAAGTATGTTTATATCCGTTGTCTAGTACCCATACAAGCTTTGCTAAGTTTAGGGCTAGAGGCACAGTGTAAAATGTACAAGGATATTAACTTATTTATTTAGATTTTTTTTATTCTTTTCGTTCCTCTTTGAGTTTTAAATTATTATCTTAAAATTATTTTAAAACCTTGTAATATCTTTGCGAATTATTTATATGAAGTTGTTTAGAATTCAATTATTAGTTTTCACAAAAGTATACAGGGTGACTTGTAATGGGTGAATGAATATCCTTGTGAGGGATTAAAGTAGGCCATTTGCAATCAATTTAGTTATGTTAGTAGGCATATAGGCAAAGTTGCACCACCTTACTTTAACCGTAACTATTACCATTACCGGTGACCATACAAAATCACCGGTAATGGTTTGACTGACTTGACGTTGATTATGGTAAATGTAAGATTGTGCAACCCACCCTAAATAGGTTCCAAATGTCCCAAATCCCTTACAGGGATGTTCCGTACAAGACACCCTGTATAACTGATTATTGAATTTCTATATTATTATGTAACAGTGGCGGCGTAGCATAGGTTGGCACCCGGGGCGGCACCCCCCCCCCCCCCNATAATATAAATTATAGCCTAAGGCACCCCAGAATGGCACCCCCCCTGTCATGACATCACGACCGTCCTTGCCATGCAGATGCGTCAGTGAGTACTAATCTGCGCGACTTTGTCACCCCCTGATGCTTGGCACCCGGGGCGGACCGCTACTGTTATGTAATGTAAATAAAATTGAAAAATTTCCTGTACTGGCAATTTATTAATTACTTATTTTAGGTCAATGTAGAAATAATACTTAGTAAGTAGTTAATTATATCAATCAATGTAGTTGTAGTTTGACACACATATACAATAGTATAGTCAGCACTTTTTAAATAGATACCTAAGATACAGACAATACATTTTGCGTAGTTTTGGTATTAATTATTTACTTTAGCGTCTTAATTTTATTGAAACTGAACTTGTATGTATTTGTCTTAAGTTTTTATGCAGTAACACATTTATCCTTAAGGTCTCTACCCACTACACCAGCGGTTCCCGAATGGTGGTCCGCGGAACCCTGGGGTTCCGTGGAAAGGCCGCAAGGGTTCCGTAAAAAATATTATCCCACGTTTCGTGACCGTCGTTGTTCGCGCGCACCGACTTGTTTACGCACAAGGGAGGGGCAGGGCGTGCGGGCGGAGTAGTACGGGGGTTCCGCTAGGAAAAGTATATGCCATATGCCAAGGAACCCTAATTGATAGGGTTCCTTGGCAAAAAAAAATTCGGAAAGTCAAAGTCAAAGTCAAAATTTCTTTATTTGTTTAGACTAATAAATAGTTCTTACAAATCGTCATTTTGCTCTTAAGGAGCCTCTACATGTCTCATAATCTTTTTACCCTACCAGCGCTTCGAGACCAACATTTGGCAAGTGCTGAGAAGAAGAAACCCTGCACTACACCATATCATACCATGACCGTGCTAGGAACGTGTCAGTCACGAAAAACTGAACTAAGACTTCAGATGTCTGACATCAATTCCAGATGGCAGACGACATAGACATCGAGGAGCACGACATCCTGGACAACCCTCGCATCCAGGGCCTGCTGCAGATCAAGGACGAGCCCATTGACCTTGACGAGGACCAGTATGAAGGTAAAAACTATATCTTTACATTCTATACTAATATTATAAATGCGAAAGTAACTCTGTCTGTTTGTCTTGCTTTCACGCCTAAACCACTGAACCGATTTTGATGTTTCGCATAGAGATATTTTGAGTCCCGGGAAAGGACATAGGATAGTTTTTATCTCGGTTTTTGAAACAGGGACGCGCGCGATAAAGTTTTTCTGTGGCAGACAAAATTCCACGCGGGCGAAGCCGCGGGCGGAAAGCTAGTTTTTTAATAAAAGCTTTTTTTACCCGACTGCGCCAGACGGTTATGTTTTATGCAGAACTAGCGACCCGCCCCGGCTTCGCACGGGTGCTAAGTATACCTCTAAAACCTTTCTCTTGAATCCCTCTATTTATTAAAAAAAACCGCATCAAAATTCGTTGCGTAGTTTAAAAGATCTAAGCATATACAGGGTGTCCCGTAATGTAACGTCAAGCCGGAACTGGGTGTTGAGGCAAGTTATGCTGGTTATCAGAAAAATATAAAAAAAAATCTATGTGGCATATTTTCAAAATAATGGGCATTTAAAAAAAATCAAAAATTTCTACTCCAGGTGACGGTCTTTTTACTCGTGTTGCCACAAATCTTCACTTTTTCCAAATTGTTTTTTTGTTATGTAACCCTGAATAATGCTTCTCTAAATTGTTATCAAAATTACAAAACCAGCTGCTCCAGTTTGGATAAAAAAAATACATTATTCCCAAAAAAATTTCAAAATAAAAATTTTGCCTAGTTTAAACTGACTGTACTGAAAAAAAATTTTACTACGCGAGTGTGGCAAGTGACGTCATAATTTGGCGCATTTAGTAAGGATTCCAAAATGGTATAACACTTGGTAAATTCTTGCTGCAATTGTCGACAATTTTTGGTTTTTTGGAAATAATCCCGTTTTTAACTTTATCTACCTTGGTTAAAAATTATTATTCTAATGTGCCCAAAATTCAAGTTTCTGTGACTGACTACCGTACAGTCAGTCACAGAAACTTTTGTCACCATGACAGTAATTAGTAGTTGACATACTGTGACAAAAGTCACCCGTGCGTGCGCGCCGTTACTACCTGCTCTGCCTGCACTTGTACTTGGTAACAGGGATAATAAGGATATGAAGTTTCGGTTATGGATACGGTTACGGATATTAGAATAATATTATACCGGTTTCGGTTACGGTCACGGATATGAAATCATTTCAGATTATCCGAAAGTTTCGGATAATTTCGGTTACGGAATTATTAGAATTTCAAAAATGTAGGTATAATTCAAATAGCAAGATGCTGCGTGACCCACATAGCTACTTTATGTACCAACTAAGACGACACCTATGTATGATAAAGGTTAAACAGGCTGGCATATTAGATGGTGCCAGGGAATGCCAGACAAGTTGGTAACAAATATTAAGATTTAAGGTACAATTCCAAGACGGGCCGCAGACCGCAAACTGCAAAACTCTATGAAATCGGCAGCGCGGCATTGCCGCTGCGGCGTGTATACTGCAGATTTCATAGAGTTTTGCAGTTTGGAATAATTGTACCCTTAGACTCCGCCTTTATCCGAAACTATCTGTAACTTTTGAATCAGTTTCGGTTACGGTTATGGATATTTTTTTATTTCGGATATCCGATAGTTTCGGTTACGGTTACGGATATCCATAACATCCCTGCTTGGTAAGATGGCCCTCTCCGTCCCGCTCATACCTTTTAAAATGGCTTCTCCACCTCATTCAAGCCAGAAACTTGAATTTTGGGCACATTAGAATAATAATTTTTAACCAAGGTAGATAAAGTTAAAAACGGGATTATTTCCAAAAAACCAAAAATTGTCGTCAATTACAGAAAGAATTTACCAAGTGTTATACCATTTTGGAATCCTTACTAAATGCGCCAAATTATGACGTCACTTGCCACACTCGCGTAGTAAAATTTTTTTTCAGTACAGTCAGTTTAAACTAGGCAAAATTTTTATTTTGAAATTTTTTTTGGGAAAAATGTATTTTTTTCATCCAAGCTGGAGCAGCTGGTTTTGTAATTTTGATAACAATTTAGAGAAGCATTATTCAGGGTTACATAACAAAAAAAAAATTGGAAAAAGTGAAGATTTGTGGCAACACGAGTAAAAAGACCGTTACCTGGAGTAGAAATTTTTGATTTTTTTTAAATGCCCATTATTTTGAAAATATGCCACATAGATTTTTTTTTATATTTTTCTAATAACCAGCATAACTTGCCTCAACACCCAGTTCCGGCTTGACGTTACATTACGGGACACCCTGTATAGGGACAGACAGCGGAAGGAGACTTTGTTTTTAGGGTTCCGTAGCCAAATGGCAAAAAACGTAACCCTTATACATTCGTCATGTCTGTCTGTCCGTCTGTCCGTCCGTCTGTCCGTCCGTATGTCACAGCCATTTTTTTATGTGGTGACAAGGCAGGCTGCAATCGCACCTGATGTTAAGTGAGATGCAGTCTAGGATGGTACATATCTGTCCTGTAAGTGCCTATTCGCCTTGAAAAGGCCCGGATTATGGTGTGCGGGAAAGACGTCAACGACGTTTTGTCAAATCAATATTTTATACACAGGGTGTCCCGAAATGAGCGAGCCAAACCTAAGGAGATGATAGATTAATGGATGACTATAGAAAAAAATCAGTAAATCACCATTTCAGATGTTTTATTTTTCGTTTTTTTAATTACAATTCTATCTATCTTGCTGTCTACAAATGAGCAACTTTTTTTTTATTTGTCTTGATGCTAGACGTTTTAAAAACATTTCGTTCGTTCGTTCGTTTCAACCGAAAGACGTCCATAGCTGAACAAAGGCCTCCCCTAAGGATTTCCACAAAGACCGGTCCTGTGTAAAGATGTGTTGTTATGGGTTTTTGAAATAACTAAACGCGACGGTTTTCGAATCACGAATAACGTTTTCAAAACTAGTTTTTTTTAAACGAAGTTATTTCCGCAACTCTCAAGCAAGCGTGATAATTAAAACGTTAGGTGTTTGGTTAGCTGCAAGACATTTAGGAACTTATGACCTTCAAAATAAGACTCAAATTCAATTGAATATCTAACGTACGACGAACATTATACCTATTTCATCCACACTTATGTTAACGTCCTATGGCTTTCTCACTCGCACACGCACTCGTTTCGTTGCGATCCTTATTAATTGGACACCATACATTACTCGCTTTACTCCTTTAGGTTACAAAAAATATGTTTAAAAATCGTCAATGTACGACGTTGTCCTCAAATCTGTCATAACGAAGCGGGAAACACGTTATTTTTTATGTCAACCGAACATCTACCTTATGTTGTTTGCTTAAGAGTGAATTCAGTTTAGCTTTAGAGCGTTGTGGAAACAATCGTGTTGAATAACGAAGAGATTCTAACGTTGTATGACGTTAAGAAAAAAACTAGTTTAGGCGTTTCTGGATAACGAGTGATCACTGGTCAGGCTGATCACTTGTTTAATAACCCGTGATAACGAATAACGCCCATCGCTAGTCCTGTGCCATTCGCATCCAGGCACCTCCCGCTACCTCTCCAGATCGTCGGTCCACCTATTGGGAGTGTTTAAAAACATTTGCTTTAATCTAAACCAATAACAATGTTTACAGAATCAGCAGTTTCATACGACAGCTACGATCAATACAAGTACTACACGAATGAAGATCAAGAACAAACTAGCTATAACCAAACAGATAATCCAGAAGAATCAGAAAACCAAGAAAACAATTATAATCTGGACAACCAAGAAGATTTAAACCAGGAAGACAACAATTATAACCTGGGCGACCAAGAAGAATTACATAACCAAGACCTGAACAACCAAGAAGATCTACATAACCAAGAGTTAGACAACTTCAGCGTGACAGCAAACCCAGAAGAATCTAACCACCAAGAGGTTTTCGAAGAATATTATAACGATGAAGAATTAGGCGACCATGAAGAAGAATTGATGAACTGTGAAAGTTTCCAAGAATCTGAAATTGAGGCACCAGAGGCAGAAGAATACATACCAGATCTTTCAGACGAGATATACCATTACAAGAACAAAATCATTCTAGGCACAAAGCCTTGCAAACGACCAACTAGAGACATAAACGGTGCGTATGTGTCTTTAGAAGACTGGAAAGAACGTTTAGAAAACAGTGACTGCTATTGCAAGGAGTGTATGACTCTTTTTGCAACACAAAATGCATTAGACGCCCACAATATGGTCGCTCATTCGTTCTTAGTAGCGTTAGACAGCCCCGAAGATTCCGAATCTGAAAGCCCCACAGTTGAAGAAAAACCTGAAAACGCCCCCCAGTACTGTGAACATTGCAAAACTTATTTCCCTAGTCAAATAGCGCTGATACAGCATCTCTATGATATTCTACCTATGAATACTACGCCTCAACCAACCCCTGTAAAGTATAACGATTGTACAAGTACTAGTCAACGCATAGTGTTCTCGTGTAAGCTATGCAACTCAGCATATTTAGATATAAGATGGTTCAAAGTGCACATGAGAATGGTACATGAAATGACGGAAGAAGGCAACTACGAAAAAATGATTTTTAACGGCGTTTGTAAAATTTGCAAAGGGAGGTTTACGCATTTGAAACGGTTTAACAGTCATGTAAGAATGATGCATATAGAGAGAGACAATTTCGAGCCAAGAGGTTCGTTGTTAAAAGACTTGTTGGAAATTCCGAAGGAAAAAGTGATATCAAGTGAAACAGAAGAACCAGAAAATGACCAAAGGATTCAACACATAGAATCGAGTTCGGTTAGCACAGTTTCTAAAGTGGGTGATGAAAAGCCTCGGTCTAAAGTGAAGTTTAAGTGTATTAAGTGTAAGAATTTCTTTGCTTCGTTGGGAAGCATAAAACGTCATCAGAAACGTTTTCACCCGGGTGAGAATACAATTAAACGTATAACCAGCAGAAAAGACATCCAAAAGTTACTCAAAATAAAATCGCAAACTTTAAAACGTGACATAGAAAAACCACAACCGCAATTTCCGATAAAAGTGCCGGAAAAGATTAAAATCAACGACAATTTGGTGCCGAAAAGTTGTGTTTTTAACTGCGACAAATGTAACATTAACTTCGTGACGTGTTGGTCCGCGATTTTACACATTTCCTGCGTTGAACTCACGATGATTTCACGCTACCAATGCGACGTTTGCTGCAAGCAATTCCGTCTAAGAGACATGAAGATTCACGAACACCAACATAAGTATAACGACGCGTTCCGAACATACCCAATTACTGGGAATATGAACTCAAAAATGCTGTTTTGGTGTCAAAAGTGCGCGGTGTATTTCGAAATCAAAAAGATTCAGGCGCACACACCCGTTTGTACAGGAACATCTTCGTCGGTGCGTTGCAAACTGTGCGATATAGACGTGAGCGATATATTATCGCATATGAGTAATCATAGCAAACATAAAACCAAAGCGGACTTCATTTTTGTAGACGACGTCTTGCCTGATGAAGATTTGACTCCCCAAAAAGTCCCGGAACAAATGAGTCCACTAAAAGATAAACTTAAAGACCCAGAAAAGCCCACTCAAAAAAATCTTAAGCGAAAGCAACAAGATTCAGAACATTCGACTCCGACTAAAATTCCGAAGCTAGACAAATACGAATTTATGTATTGTGAGAAATGTCACACCTGCATGAAAACGTCTCGTGGCTTCCATTCCACTGGCGAGTGCAAACGGTACACCAGCAAACGGAATTGCGAATTCTGCGGCCTTTTGTTCTTTGGGGGAATCCCTATGAATTCACATGAAGAATTGCATAAACAATCAAACGCGAAATTAAGAGATTTCACATTCGTCAACCTAGAAGATAACAAGCCCATAGTGCCGCATATTCCGGACTATCCCAAATGCGAAGATTGTGAAACGTACTACTTAGCCAACCACCAGTGCGGTAGTTCGAAAACTTGCAAGCATTGCAAGAAAAAGTTCTCCGAATCCGTGTTCAAAGTGCATCTACTCCACCATAAATATTTGAAAGAGGATGCCGAGGTGAACGAATTGATTAAAAGATACGAAACCCTCGCTTCCACTTGGAATATTCTTTACTTTTGTAAGACTTGCCAAGTCGCTACAGATTCATATGACGATGTTGTAGTGCATTGTCAGAACCATTACAACAATATACACGATACGACAACGTTGAGCTGCGACATTTGTGTCTTGAGGCTGGAAGAAAGTTGTTACAAGCGACACAAGCAGCTTCATTCACCGAAAATAACGCGGGACTCATTCAAAGCTGTGGAATATGACTACAAAAATCTACTCAACGAAGACTGGTTGAAGCTCTTTGGCACGCTATCAGATGCAGAAGTGCACCAGATTGTGTCGCGTAGTATGTATGTGACGCGCTTTGTGAAAATGAGACTCATATTGAATGGACCCCCAGAATTAACTATATACAAATGTGAGACGTGCAAACTGTACGTCGATCCGCACTCCATATACAACCATGCGACAACTTGTGCGCCTGCAGACAATTTACCACACAGGAAGGCTTTCAGTTGCGAATTCTGCGCCATACCCTTTAGTACGCAGAACGCAAGGGACAACCACGAAAAACTGCATTCGACGCCTAATATCACCGCGAATTCTTTTAGAATAGTCGCATTTAACGATGTAGCAGACAAAGAGTTCAATAAGAAGTTGCAAGTTGACGCAGAAGCTGCGGAATTCCAGCCGAAAACGATTGTTGGCTCCATCAAAAGTGGCGTATTCTATCAATGCAACATTTGCATGTGTTGCTCGTCAAATGCCGAGCCCATACTGCGACACAAGTGTTTAACGAGTGAGGAGCTAGTCAAATGCAAGAAGTGCCATTTAGACATACCTGCGGCAGACTTGAAAGACCATAGGAAGTGGCATAAGCGGAATAAGGATGTAACTAAAAGGCAGATCAAAATTGTGGCGATAGACAACAAGTGTTTACTCAGAAGGCCGGTCAAAGATGGCGAAGAAAAGCGACCGGTGTGTAAATTGCATCAATGCAAAAAGTGCAAAGTGTGCTACTCGTTTTGGGTGCCACACCCTACGTGCCTCCCTCGGAATCAACGATGTCGTATATGCAAATATTTGTTCACCCCCAAAAGCTACGCTTTGCATCGGCTTTGGCACGAAACGTATAAGGACGCGACTAAAAATGACATCGTAGTCGTGCCGTTGTCGCGCAAAACGAGTTCGGAGAGCAAAGAGGAAAGAAAACTATTCTTAAAATCGATAAGCAGACGCAGAAAAGAGCTGGGAGTTCGCCCGCCTCCCGTATCTAAACCCAAACTTAAACCTAAACCAATCTCGAAGAAACTAGTGGTATACCAATGTCAATTCTGTAAGCTCTGTTCCACTACGCTAAGCTATGTTAAGAATCACGCCTTTTGCTCCAAAAAATCCTATCGCAGTACTTGCAAGATATGCGATTTGACGTTCTATTTCGTCGGAATAAAGAACCATAAAGCTTGGCACATGGAAAACAAAAAACACAACAGACAGTGCATCAAAGTGGTCCGATTTAAGAACCAAAAGATATTAAAGAGTAAGGATGAGGTGTCGACGAAACAAAAGACATTGAAGAAAGATGAAATGGAATCGACGAAACAAAAGATATTGAAGAAAGATGAAGTGGGATCGACGAACCAAAAGATATTAGTAAGCAAAGATAAAATTGAGTCCGCGAATGAGAATATATTAAAGATAAATGACGACGAGTCGACGAATACAGAAAATAACATTGAGTTTAAAAATCACAAGTATTGGTGTAAAAAATGCGGTTCTAGTTCAAAAGCTACGATCTTTTTAAATAAACACAAGTGTGCAACGACCAGAGAGTCTGAATTCGTTTACTATAGATGCGAGAACTGTGAGGTGTGTGTCACTTCCAATCGGCATGACATCTGCACTCCTGCTCAGCATATCAGGTCGTGTGCGAAATGCAAGCTCAAATTCTCAGTCCACAACCTATTTGACCATATGAAGAAGCACGTTAGACACAAAACCATGACCCGAGGGAAGATCACTGTCATACCAATATCGAAATCCAAAAATTCGGAAAATTCTGCCGAAGGGAGTAACAAATCTGTGGAGAAAGTGTCCACCGTATACAAATGCTCGTGCGGTTTACACTTTATATCCCATAAGACTATAGAAAAACACTTCACTGTGTGTTCTCCGGATCACGATATACCTGCAGACAATTGTAGCAAATGTGGTCTTCTTTTCCCCACAATACATCTGGTTAGTCACCTTTGCAACCACCACAGCTACGGAAAAGGCACTATTGAGGTTAAAACTATACCTACCGTTACATTCTACAGATGCGGTTCGTGCAAGTGCTTGTTTATGAATGAATCTCGCGTCTTGAAGCATAACAAATGCTGTGATCCAAACAATATTAAAGGCACTCTATGCGACGAATGCGATTTGGAGTTCCACGCGTCTGAAATCAAAAATCACAGGGAGTCGCACAAAACATCGTCCGATTTGAGCAAGCCCTGTCGCATTGTGACTATCAACGATACCAAACTTGATGTGAGCGAGCAAATGGACGAATCTGCAGCTAGGGACGCGGAATATTCTGAATCGGATGCCAATTTGACAACTGACGATCCAGTGACAGCTGACTTAGTTGATGACGACAAGAATGTTTACAGGTGTGGTCTTTGCGGCACTCATTTCTTGAAACGGAACTCGGTGGAGAAGCATATCCAGTTAAACGCTTGCAAACCGGAACGCGCAGTGCCCTGTTCACACTGCGGTTTAGAATTTATGCCGCAATCTCTATTCAAACACGTTAAATTACATCACGAAGTTCAGAAATTGACTATTGAAGATCTAGCTATATATGAATACAATAACGTCGCTGAAAGACGATTTAATCGGGTATCCAGTAAACCAATCGCCCCTAAAACCCGAGAAGTAGTGATAGATCTGTATAAGTGTCACGTGTGCGGTATACATTTCACGAAAGCAATGAGCTTGAAAAAACATTTAGCGGCTCTCAATCATGACATCAAAAAGTACATATGCACGCTCTGCGATTTGCCATTCAACCACAGCTCGCTTATGTTACACAAAGAAAAGCATCATAATAGAATGATTGCTAACGTTAAATGTATAGCAAACATCATAAATGATAACGTTGAATTTAGCGAATCAGTGCAAAACGATTCCGAACCTGACGAAACGGAAAACGGACTTGAAAAACAAGAAGAAATTCAACCTCAGGAATCCAATGCGTCTGAGAATGACCGAACGAAAGACATAATTTATTATAACTGCAAAAAATGCGACGTCATTTTTCTCAGCTTAAGAAGATTGGATATGCATTTTGAGGATGAACACAGATGCGTTAGCCTTAAAGAAACTTGCAAAGTTTGCGGTTTGACGATCACCAGAAACTCTATGGGAAACCATAAAGAGCACCACGTTGGTAGAACGTCAGGTGTATTTTTGATACAAGACATTGACGACGAATCTGATAGTGTTAACAAGTTGTACAAATGCTTGGAATGTGGTTACCACTTTCTGAATTCGAGGACCGGAGTGGCGCATATGGTGAGAGGAGTCCATGGAGCGAGACCGATGGCTTGCTCCGATTGTGGGTTGACTTTCTCCCACGTAGGCCTGAAAATGCATCAACGCGTTCACCATAGGACCCACTCGCTGCGTCTAGAAGATTTCGTGATAGATACCAGTATTGGCAAGTATAGGAGGCATGAGTTTGGGTTTAATGATGATTTACCGCAAAGTAGCTCGGAGAAGAAAATTAAAACTGACGATCCAGAGGATACAGATGAACAACAGAATGCAAAAACTACTGCGAGTTCCACAAAACTTTACAAATGTGGGACATGCAACGTTTACTTCCTTACCCAAGCCACTTGCTACAAACACATCATTAAACACACGCCAATGGACCCCAAAGAATACATAGAATGCAAATTATGCAGTTTCCAATTTAGGATCGTATCTCTGAACACTCATATCCGAAAACACCATAAGACAGATTTTGAGTTTGACAAAGTTTTGATAGAGGAATACCGACCTAAGACGGAGGAGGACAAGGTGCCGAAGATTGATATCTATTACGCTAAAGACAAGGTCCAGTCTCGCTTGATAAGCACGACTACAGATGATGCCGTGGTTGATTCTGCTGAAGTTTCTCAAAGTCATGCGATAGAATTGAGTGACGATTCGAGGGACACTGTAATAATAAGTGATACTAATAATTTAGAAACTAAAACGGAATTAGATAGTGATAATAAAAATGTGATGGTCAATATACCTTCTTTGGCTGACGTGAAGGAATCTATTGCTGATTTTAAAGAATCTTTCGCTGAAGTGAAAGAAGAAAATGACAGTACTGATGTTAGATTACAAACAAATGAAGGCGTTCGGAATTCGAATGAAGGCGTCCGAAAATCAAATAAAGGCGCTCGAAAATCTAATGAATGCGTTCGGAATTCAAATGAAGGCGTCCGAAAATCAAATGAAGGCGTTCGGAAATCAAACGAAGGCGCTCGGAAATCAAATGAAGGCGCCCGAAAATCAAATGAAGGCGCAGGGAATGTAAGTGAAACGAACGATTCGACTGAAAATGGATACTCCTGTGCGTATTGTCCTGAAAAATTTGTTAGTAGACGAGCAAAAGACTTCCATGAGGACTTAGACCATTTGGACGCGTTGAAAGACTGTCCTATTTGTAAAAAGAGCTATCCAGCGTCCATTTTAAATGAACTTCACTTGCAAATAACCTGTGGTATGTTCACCTGCTGTGTTTGCGGGGAGAAGTATAATAATGATATGTTACCGCACCATTCTCATGCGTAATTATTATTTAATTTTAAGTTTAAGACGTTAAAAATGTGCTTTACTTGTTTCTTGAGGCAGAACTAAAGCAACTTTCGGTTAACGTAAATGCGGGTTACATTCGCCATAGAGGGAAACTTACTCAACAATAAGTATTGAAAAGCAAACTACTTACAATCTGATCGAGCAACTGCGCACCTCGTTGGAATGCGACTTCCTCGCTCTCACCCGCACACCGCGTTTGCCCCGTCTACAGGGTGGAAACGATAAGTGATCTCACTCGATTATTTCTAAACTATACGAGATATCAAAAAACTAGTTACTGATCCTGAAAGTGCTTCATGAGCTCTATCAAACGGTACCAATAATAGGTTAAAGAATAAACTGGATCTATCCGAAAATTCAATGTTTCCGGCTTCCATACATTTGGTACAGCGTCATAATATTAAAAACTACAAAAGATATCGTAAAACTGGTTACTGATCCTAAAAGTGCTTCACGAGCTCTATCCAATAGTATTAATATTAGGTTCCAGAAAAAAATTTTTCAATCAATCAATCAATGTTTCCATCTTCCATACATTTATTACTATCACAGATATGGCACTCATCTCTTGATAATATTATAGCAAATTTTATAGCAAATAAAGCCTAAAACTAATGTTTTCCATAAATTATTTTAAATGAGAATGCAATTTACGAGTTTATTTTAAGTTTTAAAAAAATTACACTTCTAATATTGAGTGGTTGGCATACATTTAGTATGGAAGCTGGAAACATTGGATTTTCGGATAGATCCCGTTTATTCTGTAACCTATTATTGGTACCATTTAAAAGAGCTCGTGAAGCACTTTCAGGATCAGTAACTAGTTTTTCGATATCTGGTATAGTTTAGAAATAATCGAGTGAGATCACTTATCGTTTCCACCCTGTATACCAGAGCGGAGATGTGACGTCACAGCTGCCTGGTGCGCAGTCAACTCGACCGGGTTGTATCTTGCATTTTCTTAAGGATGAATTTAGGGTGGAAAATATATTGCCAATGACCTATTTTAGGGTTCTTTTGACAGCTGTCAGTGTATGCCGAAGATAGATGACAGTCAAATTGTAAGGAAAGTACGCGTCTGACTTATGTGGGCTCTATGGCATTTTGTGCATAATATTATGTGCTTTACTTAATTCCTGACTTACAGTAGTGGGCGCCATCTTGAGATAAATATAAGTACTTAAAGGTTCGGACAAACCAACGCGTTCAGTTTGCATCCGCGATCACTACGCGCGTTCGCGTTTCAGACGAATACCATAGAAAAAAATCCGCCATTTTTAAATCAGAAACGTCAAAGTGACAAGCGCGATCTGATCTGACGCCGCGGCCAATGACAGGACGCGTCAATGTAAACACGTTGATACCGTCTGATCAACGCCGTGAACGCATCTGAACGCTTTGGTTTGGCCGAAGCTTAACTTAGCAGCGACTAAAACAAATTAGAACTGGTGAACACACGTTTTAGTGTATGTCAACCTACATTAAGTAACTGTCAACTTACGTTTAGTAACTGTCAACCTACATTAAATAACTGTCATCTTACGTTTAGTAACTGTCAACTTATAATAAGTAACCGTATACTTATATTAAGTAACTGTCAACATTCGTTTAGTAACTGTCTACTTACGTTTAGTAACTGTCTACTTACATTGTTTGTGTAGTAACTGTCAACTTATTATAAGTAACCGTCTACTTACAATTAGTAACTGTCAACTTCAATTTTGTAACTGTCAACTGTAATAACTGGCATTTACTCAAAGTATTAGCCATATAATTAAATAGTCATTTACTTCATGTTTTATTTAAAGTGAAAATCTCTAAAAACCTGCTCACTACCAAGTAAGAAAGGGACCTTTTTATTATAATAATTATAAGTTAATTTATATAAGTTATTAATAAGTGTGTTGAATTTAAACAGCAACTATGTTGTTAGTTTTTATCCACATTGTCTTCGATGTTGCCAGTAATGTTGTCGAATTTCGTATGTAAATGTTGCCATACATGGCATTATTTATTAAGTTTTATTGTCACAAAATTTGTAAAAATCTATGAATGCAAATGGAAACATAAAGAAATGCCTTCAAATTGTCATAAAAATAAATACGATATTGAAATTAACAAAAACTGTTTTAAAAGAAGTAAGTTTAAAATTCAAAATGTATCAATTTTCAGTTTGATACACAACGCCTGTGTTCACAAACGATGCTTGCTTAGGTGATATTAGGCATATCTAACGCACAGCGTTAAATAGAGCTCTGTGATTGGTTCGTGTGTAACCCTGTGCGTCCACGGGCACTGTGAGACATAGTAACAGAGAAAATACAAATGAGTAGGTTATCTTCATAGAAACGCACTGAGCGCGGTATGTATGTGAAAATTTAGCGGGGATTAGCCGAATTTTGTCAGTGTGTGCGTGCGCGCCGCATACGTATTGGCGCGCTCACATACAAACCGCGCTCGGTGCGTTTCTATGAAGATGACCTACTCATTTGTATTTACTCTGTTTGTATTTACCCATGTTCGCAAAATAAATATATTTGATTTGATTTGATTTGATTTACTCTGATAGTAATGTTTGTGAATACGGTCGTAAGATACTTTCTACCTTTATATGATTATACATTTTCAAATAAAAATTGTATAATTGTTGTTGAGAAAAACGGTCTTATGAGATTAATATAATAAATAGTAGGTACAGTCAGCGTCAAAAACTTCGCAACACGTCTTTGTTACAATGTTTTCGCGAATGAAAGATCCGCTAGATGGCGGGACGTGGATGTGGGGTCTGACTGCTGCGTGATTGGTGGATTTTGACCTTCGGTTTGTCATGTTTTGTTTTTGTTCCCCAGTCGATGAAGCACCTGATGCCATGCCCTGAGTGCCCAAGCAACTGCACTCAGGAGGATTTGATGAGTGCTACTGACAACGCCACTCTTATGGCGGAGTTTTGGGCTGACACTGTGTAGGTTTGTTGTCGACATGAAAAAAAGAAGAAGGTGGATTTTGACATATCTGTCAATGTCATGTCAAAAATTACCAATCATGCAGCATTTGGACCTCGCGTCTACGTATTGCCATCTGGCGGATTTTTCATTCGCGAAAACCCTCATTGGAATAAGTTGTCAACTTTTTGACCACTTTGGGTGTCACGAACTGTTTGACGCTGACTGTACTTTATTTCTATATATTATTATGTACCTAGTTAGATAAAAAGTTTAGTATATGAGAGCATTTAAAAATACCCTAATAATTCATGAAAAGTGATTTTGTAAAACGAAATGTACATAGTATTTTTGTATCGATGTAAAATATTATTAAGTTTGTTAGATATATGGACTGGCAACACTGATTTGCAACCAAAGCTACCTGTCTCTTTCACACTACTCAAAAATTGTCTGGCTCTCTTTCTCTATCTATAGAGACAGTTCTTTTCAGTTTTATAATATCTACCGTTAATTACCTACAAATGTTAAAAATATTAGTTGTGGATGCAAAAATTGTTGATTATTTGTAAAGTCCGGTCGCTGAGCGGATAGAATTTCGTCCAATGACCCCAAGCTACAAATCCTATTGCTCGCGTGTAATGATATTAATTGCTGTCGCGCTCGCACACTCACTGCGGGCGCCCGCGCGCGTCGCACAGTCGCGATAGCAATATAATTACGCGCGAGCGATAAGGATGGGTAGCTTGGGGTCATTGGACGAAATTATATCTGCTCGGCGACCGGACTTTATGGAATATAGTCGCGTCTTTTAGCATAGAACTCGTATATGTACCTCTTTCACTACAACCCTATGCTAACTGCGCACCTCGCTGAGTGCGACTCCCTCGAGCGTCGATGTGACGTCACGGCAGCCAGGTGTGCAGTTAATTCGACTGTGTTGTACAAAATATTTTGTAGTTTCTAAATTCAGTGGTAAAAGTTGTGACTTTAACCTAAAGTTTTCGTGACTGTAAATTTAGTTGATCGAAACACCTACCGATACAAGATGTATTTAAGATATTAATAAATGATTTTGTAACGTTGCAATTTTGGCTGTTTTCACAAATTGATATTTCTTCTCGATGTTTGGATTTGGGATGCCGCTAGCGACATCTATTGGCGTGATTTGGAATTGATTTGCAATGGATGGCGCTTTTTGCTCGGTCAATTCAAATGTATTTTATTGAAGCATTTCCTAATGTTTTTGTTTTGATTATTCTGTTTTTTTAATAGAATGTTTTCGGTGTTCAGGAGATTGTTTTCATCATGGTTTTTATTAGTATTTGCTTTTTACCTAAGCGGCGAAACGAAACGTCTTGCGATGTCAATGACTCGCAGGCTGTCAGTTGGGCTGTCAAATGACTTAGGAATTTGTCGATCTTGCGCAACCGCAATTTTATTATTTTCGGGGATGTAATCCCCTGTGTTTTAAATCGTGTGTTGCAGAATGCATCCACGATAATTTCATAATATAATAAAAAAATAACACACATGAGAAATTCCCTAAATTCTATTCGGATGAGGGTATTGGGTTGCTGAGGGCTGCGAGCGAAGCTCAAATTAGTGAACAGCCTTCATGCGGGATTTCAAATTTTATATTTCATAATTTCAAATTTTATATTTCATAATTTCAAATTTTATATTTCATAAATTTCATAATTTTACAATTTCATATTTTACATTTTGATATTTCATATATTTTAATTTCTCTTCATTTCGTATCAAATATTTGTCCTTTCTNTCTGACGAAGTTTGTTATTTTCAAGAGACGTATTATCAAATTCATTCTGTAGTATGGCATACTCTGACCGCAGTAAAGTGATAGTCTCTTTCATTTCCTCAATTATTGGAATTGGGTCGGTCACAGTGCAGTCCAAGCTTTTTGATAGTGGTTTATCTAATGAATCGAGGGTCTCCTGCGTTAGTGAGTCATCAATCATATTAGAGATATGGGCGATTCGAATGACAATTGTGATGCAACGCTCCCGTTCGGCGACTGTGATAGTTTTTCATGAGTGTGTGATGACATGCCCGAAGGTGTTCCTCGGTGGCAGTCCATTCTTGAGAGTACGCTCGCTGGTGTTGATTCTGGGGACCCGGGTGCAGCCTCCGACAGGGTCAGACAGGGGGGAGGAGTATTTTTTGACCTGGCGATGGTGTCCTTTTTCCTTTGCGTCACGTAAGATGTAGGATTTGGTGTAGAGGTCTCCGTCGCTTTTTTGCAACATAAGTTACACTTCCAGTTCTTTTTTGTATTTGCATCTTTGAGACGATGTAATTTTTCCGAGTAGCCGATACAATCAAACTCAAAATAGTTGCGGCAGAACGAACATTGTACGGCATCGTTTGAGTCAATTTTCTGTTTACATTTGTGGCATTTGACGATGAGCGCCCTCCTGCGTGTCACTAATACATCTTTTTTAGTGGGTTTTGACATTTTGTGATCTATCTGAATGCACACAATGTTGTAGCAGTTAGTACAATTCCAAGTTGGTAGATGTCACGCTGTTGTTGTATCTACTGTATGGCAAGCAGAGACCTCTAGTGGTGAGTAGCGAGGTTCGTTTATTGTCGTTGGAAGATCTTGTATGGCAAGTAGCGACCTCTTCTGGTCAGTAGCAAAATTACGATATGAGTGTCCTGGTCACTGTGCGTTGTCGAAAACAGCAACCCGCTTTCCACAAATATCAACAGATGTCGCCAATATTATTATGGAAACTAGTGTCATCTAGCGGTGAGTAGCAGCGGTGTACTGTCTTGTTAGTCCATAATGATTCATCAGCTGATTGTGTTTACATGTCATTTGAAAAATTAACGTACGAATAATGTTTATCAACAATTTTCACGTAAAATTTTTTCACTCACTGAGTTTAAGTGCTAGAATAGTTCACTCCACACCAGTTTATGTCCGAGATTGTAAGTATTCACGTTTATAGTCACTATTTATCACCGGGTACACATCAGCACCAAAACAATAATCCCTTGAGATATCATTGTAATAACGTCTGTGGCAATTTATCAAACGAAATTCTATAAAACACTACTGATTTTATAATCATATTGGATGTATAAATATTTTTAAATAACAAAAATACACGGAGTCGATTTCACTGTGGCGACACCAACGCCATCAATATAATAGTTATATAGATATTTATTTGCATCACCATAATGTAACATAGGATAGATAAGGCTTAAAGCTAAATAGATCATTATGGACCCTGTCGGGCACTGCAATTAGAAGAGAGGAGGATCTACTTTTAATTTATCACAATTTGGACTATAAAAGTATTAGTTGTTAATTATTTTATTTTAATATTCATATGTATAAATAATATTATGTATAATTATATTTTACTGTAACTTTCCTATTACAATTTATCAGGTTTAAATAAACTTACTTTCAAAATAAGTCTTTGTGCTCTCTCTAGTTCAATTAGCTTCGTCTTGGCTGCTCCACCCCATGAGGTTATGCAATAAGACAGCACAGATTGAACCAAAGACTCATAAACACATTTCATAACACTTCTATCTGCAATATGCCTAAGCTGCTTAAATACAAATACCAGTTTTCTAACCCTTTGCGATATTTTATGGATATGCTCTGCAAATGTAAGATTTTGGTCTATAATCACCCCTAATCTATCTAATACTATTTGTATTATTAATTTGTGGACAGTTACATGAATTTTGTGGTGTCGCGGAGCATTTGTGAGCGGTATCCTTCCGTTTGGCCAAATTACTTTTCGCCAAATTTCACTTCGCAAACAACTTATCGCCAAAGTTTCATTTCCCAAATGAACTTTTAGCAACTGTACTTTTCGCAACTGATTCATTTGGTCAAATTATCATTTGGCCAAATTTTACTTGGCAAATGTTTATATAGCAAATGTTTTATGTTGCTAAATATTATATCCCAAATAATTTGTTAGGTCAAATTGACACTTCACATACTTACCCACCGTTACCCACAAATCAAAGCATAAGGCACATGATCATGGTTTTCACAATAATTTTATGTAAAACATTGCAGAAAATAGTATGGTTGCAAAAAGTAGGTATTGCAGAAAATAGTAGGTTAGGTTAGGTTAGAACAGTGACCCTTAATGCGCGAAGGCGAGCGAAGCGTGCCGCGGCAGCGGCCGCCGAGCGCTAGAATCACCTCTATTGTTAATAAATCATTTGGAAATTTCGATACAAAGAATGAAATAAGGAAATTAATGTAGAACAAATTTTATATTAACTCCCCACTAAACAAAATAATAACCATAAGCTAATTTGTATACCATTCTATGCACCAATCAAATTATTTTGTAAATAGTTTATCGTGAAATATTTTTGCCTAATGAAACATTTGGCAAATCATACTTTGCCAAACAATAATTTGCTAAACAATAATATGGCAAAAAAAACATTTGCGAATTAAAAGTTTGCAATAAGTTGCTTTGCCAAATGAGAATTTGCCAAATGAAAATTTGCGAAACGTTGTTTGCGATGTGATAATTTGGGAAACGTTTTTTGGCCAAACATTAGTAATCCATTTGTGAGCATATAATTTAAAATTTTGGTTGTCGTCGCACCTCTCGAGCGGACAGACGTGTGTCGCGCGTATCGGATATAATTTAAATAATAAGTTCCCAATTGTCGTCCTTAAATAAAGTGTCAGTGAGTCAAAAGTCGTGTATACTGCGTTTGAGTGACTTGTTACCATTACAACTGTTGAACATTATACCTCACTCCGGTGCACCTCCGCGGGACAAGAACGCTTGCATTTTTCGTCCCTTTCACATCTGTGGCGTATTCTAAATACCTTATTGACTCGACCATTCAATATGAGCGTTAAGCGATCGCCTTCTAAGTCGCACAAGGGGTCTACCTTTACTGGTTCACCACACACAGACGCGGATTGTGAAGCTACCGACTCAAACTCGCAAATTACTCAACGGAGGCGAAAACAACCTGACTCAGACATTCTCAAAAGGGCTGACCTCGTCGACTTCAAAAAGGAAATGATGACCATTTTGCAAGATATCAAAGAATCTAACAGTGACTTCATGCGTACTATTAGATCGGAAATAACTGAGATCAAAACACAAGTGAGTTCAGTGACTAAAACGTTGGATAACATTATTCAACAACAAAGTCAGTTTAGGCATGAACTAACAGACCTTTCTCAATCACTTAACTTTCATACTAAATCCTTTGATGATCTCCGAACGAAAACACAAGAAATGTCCAAGGAAATAACTCAGGTTAAAAGCCTAAGTAAGGAGGTCGATATCTATAACCGTCGTATAGCCAACTTGGAACGAGATTTTAACATTCAACAACAACGGGAAAGACTAAACAACATAGAATTATATTTTCATAGCTCCATTCTTCAGATATATTATTACCATGTAGTTTCCCTAACGTACTAGGTAGTGTCGCACTTTTAGATTTGTATCGATTGTTCTTACTCGATTTCCGATTTCAAACCGTCATCTATGGGTCTACGCATCACTAGCGCTCCCGCGTTTTGCTCATTCCTTTTTTGTGCGCGGTAGTGAACGCACGTCACTTCAAGTTATAACAAACGCGTAACCGTTACATTTCAAATATGCCGAAACGCAAGGCTGAAGATAAAATAAAGCGTTACAAAGAAAAAATCAAACGTTTAGAACAAAAACATAAAGTGCATAAACGTCGACGAAATATTATAATTTCCGATTCAGATTCTGATATCGAAAACCAGGGTAAGTAAATATATTATATTATACGAAATAAAAGTGTGCAATACAGCGTCTATAAGTCTGCCTGGAGGGTAACCGCGAGTTATACACGATGGCTAGACATGACGCAAAAATCTACGCCTGGAGGTTGACCGTGAGTCATACACGAAGGCAAAATACGTTCTTAGATACATTATGAACATAATATAACGAATTTAAAAAGTAAATACCTACATATTATATTATTAATGAAGTGTTAAAATTTCACAAATAAAAATTCATAATTATTTTTAGTTTTTATAGTACCCTCAAAAAAAAAAAAAAACTATTTTACTTTATACTTTCAGATATCCAAATACCCGAAAATTATAATGTCGAGGACGTTGAGATTATGCACCATGATTACCCTAATATACAGGATGATTCTTTACCGACGATACCGGTTGACATACCGTTATCTAATACACCAGTTTTATGCGACCCATTGCAGTCGCAAGCAGGCGAGGACAAAGATCCCAAAAATGATTGTGAGTCATCTCAAACTCCAAATGTTCCACTAGAGCAGGAACAGGTTCCAGGAACCTCAAGTGAAGTACCTACAGAACTTGACCCAGAAATACGTCTTGCATTGGGGGATCCCATTGAAGACAGTCCTAAATATGGAGCTAATATTCACAACGACTTGGCACAGCGCTGGTTGCCAATACTTAAGAAAGGCTTGACAAAAGATGTCAAAGAAAACTTGTTGAAGGAACATCATATTCCAGATAACTGCAGATTATTAAAATCACCCAGTTTAAACCCCGAGATAGCTGCTGCTGTTGCAGAAGCAGTTCGTAGTAGAGACAAAAAGATGGAAATAAAACAAAATCAATTAGGATTGGGAATTACTGCTATTTCAAGAGCTTTGGAAATATTAATTAATGACGGGAGTAAAATGGAAACCATAAAACAACTTTCTGAAGGCTGTAGAATATTGACTGATCTTCATTATACAGAAACACAAATTCGGACTAAATGTATTACTCCGTGTCTAGATAAATCGATACTGAACATAATTCAAGAAGAAGAACGAGATGAGTTCCTATTTGGCAGTCAATTATCAGAAAAAATAAAGGCGGCTAAAGCCATAGAAAAGCAAGGTTCGCAAATCAAAAGAAATATACCGCAAAAGAATAATCAAAATCAGTCGCAATTAAAAGGCAGATACACGGGAAACTGGACACCTCCTCCTCGATATCCCTCGTCGTCGAGCAGGGGGGGGCGCGGAGCATACAATATGACGAGCCGAGTACATCCGTACAGGCAGTTTCGCCCTCAAGCGCCGCAGCCGCAGCAGCCGGCAGCGCAGTCGCAGGCGAGGACAGCCACATTTTCCAAACAACGTGCCCAAACACGTCAATAGTTCAGGTACATGCAGGTAGATTAACTTTTTATTATGATTGTTGGCTACACATAACAAAAAATAAAACTGTGTTAGATTATATTTTAAATGGCTATCGTATACCTTTAATAAATAATGTTACACGCCCGCATATACCAAATAAATCATTATCATCTACAGAGAAGCAAAAAATGCAAATTGCTATTAATAACCTTCTTGACTTAGGAGCTATTTCTGTATGCCAAAACCACACTGAACAATTTCTCTCACCAATTTTTTTGATTCCAAAACCTAATGGTACAGATCGTTTTATTCTAAATTTAAAATATTTTAATAAGTATGTAGATAACGAACATTTCAAAATGGAGGATTACAGAAGTGTATGTACTTTATTATCAAAAAACAGTTACATGGCTAGTATTGATCTGAAAGAGTCTTACTTATTAGTTCCTATACATCCCGAACATAAAAAGTATTTAAGGTTTCAAATGGAAGACGATTCACAAAATTTAATTACTTATGAATTTAATGCGATCCCCTACGGCTTATCATCAGCACCAAGAACATTTACAAAAATAATGAAGGAAGTGATTGGTTATTTAAGAAAACGTGGTTTTAGTTCAGTAACATATTTAGACGATATCTTGTGTATTGAGAATTCTTATGAAAAATGTCTTTTGAATGTAAATGAAACTGTCAGAATTCTCGAATGTTTAGGTTTTATCATAAATTTCGAAAAAAGCTCGTTAGAGCCGAAACAAAAATGCAAATTTTTAGGTTACATGTTCGACACACAAAATATGACTATATTCTTACCAGAACACAAACAAACACATATATTACAACTGGTGAAAAAATTCAAAACATTACAAAAATGTACCATTCGAGAATTCTCTCAATTTATAGGTGTTTTAACAGCCGCATGTCCGGCAATAAAATACAGCTGGTTATACACAAAGAAATTCGAAAGGGAAAAGTATCTCGCCCTGAAAAAATGTAATAATGATTACGATGCAATTATGACGTTGTCAAATAACATCTTATCGGATTTAGTTTGGTGGGAAAGAAATATATTAATTTCTAAAAACTTTATTTCACCTCCAATATACAAATTGGAAATTTTCACGGATGCGTCAAGGTCAGGCTGGGGTGCTGTCTGCAACAATATGCGCGCCAATGGTCACTGGAAAGAAAGTGAGCTAAAATATCACATTAATTATTTAGAGCTTCAAGCAGCATTTTTTGGCCTTAAATGTTTTGCCCGAGATTCTACCAATTGCGCTATATTGATGCGGATAGACAACACTACGGCCATCAGCTATATCAATAGAATGGGCGGTATACAATTCCCACACTTAAATGATTTGACGAGATCCATTTGGCAGTGGTGCGAAGAACGCAACTTGTGGTTATTTGCATCTTATATCAACTCCAAAGAAAATAAAGAAGCTGACATTGAATCGCGCAGAGTTAATCCCGACACCGAAATAGAACTATGTTCAGTCGCCTTTCAAAATGTTATCAATAAATTAGGAAAAATCGATATAGACTTGTTTGCATCTCGCACCAATGCCAAATGTAGGGTATACATATCCTGGAAGCCAGACCCGGATGCGCTTACGGTAGATGCTTTTACGATATCATGGTCAAAATATTATTTTTACTGTTTCCCTCCTTTTGCAATAATTCAAAAATGCTTACAAAAAATTGTCAGTGAACAGTCAACTGGAATTTTTGTTTTTCCTTATTGGCCCACACAAGTGTGGTTCCCGTTGTTGAACAATATTATAATATCTGATATTATTTTTCTAAAAAATGCAATTCGGTCGGATTACAGGATACATCTACCCGCGCAGACTACCCTGGCAGCAGCCATTGTCTCCGGGAAGCCTTCACAAAACAAGGCATTCCATCAGAAGCGATACATTTAATGATTTCTTCGTTGGCGGCTAATACTATAAAACAATACAACACAACATTCAAACTGTGGTGGAATTATTGTTTAACTAACCATATTAATTACTTAGAAGCACCAAAAGCAGCGCTAATTTTATTTCTTACGAAACAATTTGAGAATGGCGCTTCTTATGGGACACTAAATAGCCATCGTTCAGCTATAGCACTGCTTCTAGGTAATAATATAGGTTCTGATGAACAAGTTTCACGATTACTAAAGGGAGTCTTCAAATGTAGACCTAATATACCTAAATATAATACCATATGGGATCCACAGGTAGCTTTAGATTTCATGGATAAATGGTTCCCTCACACAAATTTATCATTATGTCAATTAACAAAAAAGTTGGCTACACTTTTGGCTCTTTGTACAGCTCATCGCGTACAAACATTGTCTTTAATAAAAACAAATAGTATTGTAGTTCATCAAAATCAGATCATTATAACTATTTCAAATTTAATAAAAACCTCGGCAATCAATCGTGAGCAACCAACCTTAGTTATACCCTATTTTACTGACAAACCTAGTATTTGTCCTGCAAAATGTTTAGAAGATTACCTAGATATTACAAAGAATATTAGAAATGACGCTTCTAACTTATTTATAACTTACAAACGTCCACATAAGCCGGTGACGTCACAAACCATCAGTCGATGGATTAAAAGTATGTTAGCAGAGAGTGGCGTTGACGTGACGAAGTTTAGCGCTCATAGCACGCGTCACGCCTCCACATCGGCTGCTCGTGCCTCAGGTGTATCACTAGACGCGATTCGGAAAACAGCCGGATGGACGGCTAGATCACAGACATTTGCAAAATTTTATAATCGCCCCATTATTTCACAAGAATTAGCTAGGTCTGTTTTTGAAACAAACAATTAAGTTTCATGTATAAGNAAGGAACGGTAACTTATATAAATTTCTGCAAGCCGGACAACCTCTTTTTCACGTGCAGACAATTCACCATCGTCTCCGTCTGCACCGGTGGCGGTTCAATTCCAGTCACCAAGCCGCCAGGAAAAAATCCTTTCTTGCAATTTTTTTTACAAAAATATTGTACTGTTTTCTTTCTCTTCGGAAAAAGTAGCCTAGGCCATTGAAAAGTACATAATCTAAAATTTTGAACACAAATACACAAACACTGGCGCCAAAAGTCAAAGTCAAAATTTCTTTATTTGTTTAGACTAATAAATAGTTCTTACAAATCGTCATTTTGCTCTTAAAGAGCCTCTACATGTCTCATAATCTTTTTACCCTACCAGCGCTTCGAGACCAACATTTGGCAAAAGCTGTGTTCGCCATCTGGGAAAAGCTGTGTTTCAGACCCCCATTTATTTATTTTAGAAGGCTGCTTGAAGCCTTACAGAATGCAGTTTTACATCCTAAGGGCTTAGTGTGAGTTTACATCAAAAGCGTTCACTAGTGAGCGCGTTTAAAAAATGTATGTAAATTTTAGTTTTTGAACGTTTCCCGCTAGGGGCGCTGTACAATCCGTCATACATTTAATGTCATTTTCTCTCTACTCGCACTAGGCCCTCTGAGGGCTTAGTGTGAGTTTACATCAAACTTACTGGTGAGCGCCTAAAAAAATATACTAAAATTTTTGTTCTTTAAAGTTTCCTTGGGCGCTGTACAATCGTCATTTTTTTACGCACTCACTAGTGACTACTTTTGATGTAAACTCATTGGTATTATTATGTGCTCTATCCTCATTGAAGGAGGCCTATGTTCAGTAGTGTGATCAGTGTGGCTAAAATGATGATGATAATGAAACCCTACAAGTCCTAAGAAAAATATGTATGTAAACCCCTCTGCTTGTACTTGTGTCTGTCTTGTTGGTTGTCCTAAATAAATAAATAAAAAATAAAATAAGTCCTATGATTGACGTCAATCAGAACAATCAGTCCAAGGTTCATGCCCTAGCTAGCAATGTTTGTACATAATAAAAGAGCATCAATGAAAAAGATTGATTTGCATAGGTTTTGAACATAAAGGAATAATATTATTATTTGCACACGTTGCACCAATAAAAAGTACAATTGAGTAAATAAATACTACAATACTAAAATACTAATATAGGTAAATTGTCTATTAAACCTACCTATTTATAAATTCCAATTATTATCTAAGGTTTTTTTTAAATTTACGTCTAGGTATACTAAGTAATACCTATTATAAATGCGATAGTAACTCATGTCTGTTTGGCATAGAGATAGTTTGAGTCCCGGGAAAGGACATAGGATAGTTTTTATCCCGGTTTTTGAAACAGGGACGCGCGCGATAAAGTTTTTCTGTGACAGACAAAATTCCACGCGGTTGAAGCTGGAAGCTGCGGGCGGAAAGCTAGTAAGAACCTATCTATACTAATATTAGAGTATTTCTCAAAAAAAATGTACATTTTGAAAAAAAAAAGTGTGCTTTGAAACAGTTCAAAAGTTTTATATTTATAAATCATCACACAAAAAAAACACACACACAATTTTGAAGGATGAATATTAATCTTTAAGATAACGAAGAATTATAGCTATAATNATGAAAATATAATATATGATCAAACGAACTTCTAGAAGGAAGTTCGATCATTATTATATGAATAGCTCCATTCGAAGATATAAGAACCCACCCACCTCAACCCTTTGTAAAAGTTTTGGTATCTCTAAAAGAATGAGCAAAACGCGGGAGCGCTAGTGATGCGTAGACCCATAGATGACGGTTTGAAATCGGAAATCGAGTAAGAACAATCGATATAAATCTAAAAGTGCGACACTACCTAGTACGTTAGGGAAACTACATGGTAATAATATATCTTCGAATGGAGCTATTCATATAATAATGATCGAACTTCCTTCTAGAAGTTCGTTTGATCATATATTATTCCTTCATTTCCTTGTCCCTATGCTTTGCCTCCACTGAGTCACTTGAGATGATAGCATAGATATAATACATCATTATGCTATAGACACTACAACCCTTTCCTTGTTTTAAAGAAAATAATTATTTCATGGAATAATAATTTAAATAAAATAAAAATAATCCACNCATATATTATGTTAGTGACCATGAAAGTTTAAAACAAGACATTTTCCTATGTTATGAATTATGATGTATAACAACATTCTTTATACACATACCTAAAATGGGGTTACCTACATACAGGGTGGAAACGATAAGTGATCTCACTCGATTATTTCTAAACTATGCAAGATATCAATAAACTAGTTACTGATCCTGAAAGTGCTTCATGAGCTCTATCAAACGGTATTAATAATAGGTTACAGAATAAACTGGATCTATCTGAAAATTTAATGTTTCCAGCTTCCATACATTTGGTAAAGTCACATTATTTTAAAAACTACACATGATATCGTAAAACTAATTACTGATTCTAAAAGTGCTTCACAAGCTCTATCCAATGGTATCAATAATAGGTTACAGAATAAACTGGATTTATCTAAAAATTCAATGTTTTCTTCTTCCATACATTTTGTACTACCACATTCATGACACTCATCTCTTGACAATATTATAGCAAGTAAAGCCTAAAACCAATGTTTTCCTCGAATAATTTAAAATAAGAATACAATTTACGAGTTTACCTTAAGAGTTTATTATTAAACTAGCGGCCGCCCGCGACTTCGTACGCGTGGATCCCGTTTTACCCCCTTCATCTATCTTACGCGGTTTAGATTTTTTCATACAAATGTTTTTTCCCGCTAACTCCCATTCCCGCGGGAATTTTGCAATATCCTGTTGTAACTAAGCTTTAAGTTTACTAAGATACCTGCATGCCAAATTTCAAGCGTCTAACTTAAGCGGTTTAGATTTTTNGAGATGAAGGTTAATAGTAGCGAAAAGCTGAAGGAGGAATATGCCCTTCCGCGAATTGTTTCCCCATGGTAACCACACCTGGATTTCAAAAGTCACCTCAACCTTCCATGATGAGTTCGGAAGTTGCAAGCGGGCTTACAGTGGTACCAGTGTTAGGGATGAATGTTAGCAGCGAAAAACTCAAGCCCTGCTTCGATACAGGGGGAGGGAGGAAGCTCTTGATGGCCTTGAAAATTACGGGTCGAGCTGAGACTATTATAAATTCAGTCACATCAGCCCTGTTTGGAAATAGGGGGAGGGAGGAAATTATTCCTTACGGGAGAAGTTTGAGAACGCCTGAGGGTTTTCGTGGCAACTGTACTCAAGGCTCAGCACCAAGGCCCTATATGATGTTTCGAAGTCATGGACTAGCTCTTTGAAATTGCAGACACCAATGTTCCTGACTATTAAAACACACGTNCACACAGTCTTAATTCATTGCTATTTTATTTTCTTCAAACTTTTAATAAGTAAGATTCCAAGACTCGACAACACTAGCCGGCGCCGCAGCAAACGAACTTGCCGCCGCCTTTAGACAGTGCCGCCGGCCGCCGGCTAGCGCAATGTACAGTCACCAAAATAAAATTAAGAAATGCAACAAACTTTTTTTTACTATTCAAATTAAATCATAATTCAAATTAAATCATGCATAAACGTAGAATTCGAAGTTCGAATCTCGCCATCGACCAATGATATCTTTTTTCTACAAATTCTACGAGCTAGTCAAGACATTTTAAATAAGGACGAAATTAACAAAAAGAAACCTACAATATGGCACCAAACAAATATGCTAAATGCTCGGATTGCTTAAAAAAGATTACAAACCGTGAGTTCTTGGCGTGCAATCTTTGCAATAATGCATATCATATAGAATGTGTTAACTATTCTGAAAAGCTATTTTCTCTTATGAGCAAGGAAAAAAAAGACAGCTGGCAGTGTCCTTCCTGTAAGCGAAAAAATAAACCGAGAAATAGTAAACAAAACATTAGTACGTCACCAGGACAAGACAACATAACTATTCGCCCCTGCAAGTCGAAAGCTCATGTAACTACAAACAAAAACAAGCTTCTAAACGTATCTCGAAGAAGTGTATCGCCTCCTTTTGATATTTCCGTGTCGCAAGATGTCATTCCACCAAAACATCTACGCAGATCATTATCCATGGAGCTACCGGCACCGGCTGGCTCATCAGATAGCATTTTTCAATCTCTGGAGGATTTATCAAAAAGCACAGAATATTTAAATGATCTCGATATAGTAAATGATCTCAAACTAAAGATAAGTAAGTTAGAAACTGATCTCAAAAGTTGTGAAAATGAGCTGGAAAATACTATTATTGAAAATAATGAACTAAAACACCAAATAACCAAGCTGTCCCAGGAAATATGTCTTTTAAAAAACATTTGTAAATCACCACAACGAGCTAGAAAATGTAATGAGAGTATTAGTGAACTGCAATCGACACCGACTGATTACTCTAACTTAAAATCAAATACATCACAACAAATACTTACTTTAGAAGACACCATA